TGACGCACCGTCGTCGACCATGAGTCTCAGGGCTGGATCGGGTCGCTTCCCATCAATCAGTTTTCTTATTCGTGAAAGCCAACTGGTGCTTCACCACATATGTGAGCAGCTTTGTTGGTAAGTATAATCCAGAGAGAGCTTGTAGGGCACTGGCGTACTTTCCATCGAACACGGCATCTCGTAGAGACTCCGGTAGGTTGACACGTTACGCTCTTGCAATGCAGATGTCGCTCAATCATTTCGTGGTCTCCAGGACAAATAGAACACACAAATGACCTCACACCACGCACGACAGAGCAGCAGAACGATTCCCATCGATACTTGACATATTCATCCTCGCTCCGAAACACCCCAAGTTTTGACCAGTTCTGCGATGGAGGCATGATACTGTTGTGGTAGGTCTGCTAGTTTCAAGTCTTTGAATGGTATCCGTTGTGCTAGATGCAATGCCAGGAGCGGACTGGCTGGTTGCCAATTGAGTGGATCTGCGAGTCGCAAACTGCGACGCATGTGAGTCCGTTCCATGTGCACGAGCCAGGTGTGTACTCCATAGGCCAGTAATATATCTACGGATGGCCTGAATAGCTTGTCCCTGTGTACTGTTGTCAATTTGTGTCTACGCGCTGCACATTTGTGTCTACTGTCACCTACAAAAGTGTCTATTGTCGGCCTAGACTCGGATTGCACTTGCTACGTGAGGATAGGAGCGCCATTTACCGATTTCCAGCTCAAATTACGCACGCGTATTCATGAGTAATGGATCAGGACAGGAATTGAAATTCAAATTTCACCTACAGCACAGCACAGCTCACTGATTCATCAAATCATCAAAACATGCGATGATCCAGGATTTTTTTAAGCGATCTTACCCGCCACGCACGACAAAAGGGGGTGGACTTCAACGGTTGAAAATCAACCGCCCTATTCGATTAAGACATGCGAGGGACAGGCTCTCGAAACGGCAGCAAAGTCGCAACTGATACAATCTTTGCTTGACGAATGTTTCTAGCTCGCTGCCGGCGTATTACAGCTTTTTGTAGCGCTCACCAGTACTGGCATCCGTGCATGCCGCCTCAAACTGACAACGGTTAAGTGTTTTTGCCAGTTCATGTTATACGTTGAGACCTTTTCAAAGTGTTTTCGTTTCTTTCTGCGGAATTGGCGTTGCCGCTCCATACATGGAACAGCTTTACTGCTCGGATTGGCGTTGGTGCCCTCTTCTCTTTCACAGCTCTATAAAAAATTTGACTCGCAAGCGAAGACCAAACGGGTCTTCGTCAAACTTCAAATAGCAGTGGCGTTGCCAGTTGCGAGTGCTTGGTTTCCTTGCATATAATTTCTTTACGTAGTTTCTTCGTATGTATACTTCGTTACAAAGTGTGCATACCTATATCTCTATTGCAGCTGCCAAAAGTTTTGTTGGACAAAAGTTTTGTTGGACAGGCCAAAGTGCAGACAGGCCTATGGTGCATCTTCAATATGGTAATCACGTGAGCCATGTAATCAGAGTGTAATCACGGGGCGGCAGTAATCAGGCGCCTTGGCTTCATTGGAGAAACTCAGCCTCCACAATGCTCACTCACACACCAGCCGAATTTGGGCCAGCATCCGCTTCGCGAGTCTATGTGTCGCCTTCGTCTGCATCGACAGCTCCTCCGTGAAGTGCACACGTGCGCGCCACTTGTTCTCGAGCGATTGTAGCTGTTGCGCCGAGAATTTCGGTGGCTCCTCCGTCACCTTGGTCTGTGTCAATTGTGCTAGGCGCTCGGTGGCCACCCGCATACTGGCGCTCAGTGCCTCAAACTCGACCCACGCCTCATCTAGCGTTCCCATAGGCAACTCGTGCTGTAGTGTTGCCGTGCCGCTTTCGTTTTTAGCGCCCAAGTCCCTGTCGAAGTTGCTATTGGCAGCGCGTCGCTCCTTCTCCCGTCTTGCAGTGGCACGTTCGCGAAGTAGCACCGAGAGACTATCCTCCTCCTGGGCCACCGACAATCGCGACGGGCTCCTAGACAAACTAATGGAGCCACTGGACGACGACAGCAACGACTTGTTGCTTCTACTACCAGCTAGGCTACGCTTCAGCTGAGGTGATTCTTCTTCTCCGGTGTGAGCAGTATGAACGGCAACACCTGCGGCGCGAAGCTCTTTCTTTACCTTCGATTCAGTGCCTACCACTAACGACCTCACGAGTGCGTCCTGAGGTCGCTGAGAAGACAACAGTCCTCGTCGAGCTTCCGTGCGCCGAGTGAGATCCCACCACCTGCGTGCCACGAGATGCACGATTGCCCCTGTGGGCATACCAAGCGTGGCAGGGGTGTCCGTCAGCTCCACTCGGTGGGCTCGATAAATAGCGATAAATTCATCTAGGCCTCTCGTACTGCTAAAAGAGCCACCACGATGCCCCACGCTCACCGGGAGATGGCACTTACTACGCATCTGGGCTAGCAGCGTCTCAAACGGAGCATCTCTTGCTACCTCTGGAAGCACGTGCAGAGGCTGCAGAGCCGAGCTGCCTCCCGGTTGATAAACCCGAAAGAGCAATGTAAGCCTCTTGCCTCGTCGAGACTGCAGCCGATATCTCGCCAAACACTCGCTTGCTGTTCTGGCGATCTGCGTGCCGAGTGTGCCCATATTCGGCAGCGAATCAATCTCAAATGTGCCCAGCGTACCAGGCGATACTCCACAGAAAACTTCAACAAGCGGTCCCTGTAGGTCTTCGAGGAGGAGCTCAGGAGGGTGTCGGCGGCGCTGCAACGCATCAACGTCTGCACAGGCACACACCTCATTCAGAAGCTCGCGCACGAGTGCACTGAGCAGCATAGTGGCGTTGTAAGATAGTGTGAAGGCTGGATGGACGCACTTGAGTACCATAGCGAAGTCCACTTCGGAGAACGGATCGTCCTCGCGCTTCTGCCACTCGGAGCGAGTGCGTTCGTGGCGCCGGATCAGCTCCTCTTCTTGAGTTCTTAGCTGGAGATTACGTCCACGTCGTCCACTGGCTCCTACTCCTTCGTGCTCAAGTTTGGAAGATGTATCTCCAAAGAGGTGCTTGGCTTCACGACTTGCAATGAGTTTGCGCTCGTAAAGAGAGCGAGATGTGGCATCGTCTAAGAAAAATTCAAGCGCCAGTCGAGCGCTCTCAGCTCGTTGCAATATGCCAGCCAGCTCCGGGTGGCTACGGAGAGCTACCTGCAAATGAAACACCGTGATCTTGGTGTCTGGATGTCCTGTCCGGGTCACTGCAGCCTCCGTTAGTTGCTTAATTGCTATTGAGAAGAGCGCATTGCAAAATCCTTCAACGATTGCGGTGCAGAATACTGCTGTCTCTGGCTGTGGACACAGCACCTGCGTTAGCGCTAACACGGTCCTATTTCATGACCTGCGAAACTCACATCGACAAGAAGCTCAAGCCCTTTGGAGAGAGTATCTCGTAGCGGCTGGAAGTCAAGTGCCAAGCGTTTTCGCACTGACTGCTTGCGCCGCTCTTCGGTGGAACTTCCAGCGGGCATCACTTGACCTCTTGCATCATACCCAAATAGCTCTTTTGCAACGAAACGCCAGAGTCACTAAGCACTTCAGTGATGCTCCATAGCGCCAATACTACCAGTGCCTTCCATTCAGTCGCTGGCCTAGGGAATGCGTTGCTATCTCAGCTGTCTTTACTCCTGAACAAGCCTGTAATGACGAATTTAAACAAGCAAGCGAAGCCATTTTATGCCAAGTACGAACACTCGCTCGCAATTGAGAACACACCGAATCGGTAGAACCTTCAACCATATCAATGCACGACAACAACAGCAACAACACTAAGTGCTGACACAAGTTCGGCAAAGTAAGAGAAGATGGCAAAGAAACAACTGCGATTTCCACATAAGAACCTCGAATCACATGAGCACTACGGGCCACTTCCTGATCGACGCCCCCGCGTCCTCGAGCTGCTTGCCGGTCTGTCTGGTGCTTTCTCTAGTTCTCATCGTAGTGGTACGGGTCAACGTCTCCGTGCGGTGCCAGCACTTCCGACGGCAGTGCTTCACCCTCTGACGCCAAGAAGGTAGGGTACGGAAGCGGCGCCTCCGGCTTCTTCTTGCGTGCATCCGTGACACGGACAATGCCGCCGTTGTTACCGGGCACACTGCCCTTGACGTAAATGAGGTTGCGGTCCACGTCGATTTTGGCGATCCAGAGGTTGTCGCGTGTGACGCGGTTGCCGCCCATGCGGCCAGGCATCTTCTTGCCCTTGAACACCTTGCCAGGGTCCTGACATTGGCCGGTGGATCCCATGTGGCGATGCGTCTTGGAGTTACCGTGCGAGGCTGGCTGACCTGCGAAGTTGTGCAGCTTCATGACACCCTGGAAGCCTTTGCCCTTGCTGGTGCCGCACACGTCGACATACTGACCGGCGTTGAAGTGCAGCGCCGAGAGCGTCGTGCCAAGAGGCAGTAGAGCGTCCTCCGAGACGCGGAACTCCTGCAGCTGGCGCTTGGCCGGCACGCCCGCCTTAGCCAGGTGGCCCAGCACGGGCTTACTCACATTCTTGGGCTTACGCAGGCCCACACCAAGCTGCAGCGCGTTGAAGCCGTGGCGATCCGCCGTCTTCACCTGCGTTACCTGGCACTCCTCAACCTGCAGCACCGTGCAGTTGTGACGGTAGCCAAAATGGTCCCACACGGGCATCATGCCAATCTTGACGGCCAGCAGACCCGTGCGCTTCTTCTCGGGTGACCACACGGCGGTGGCAGCTTCCGTCGTGGCGGCCGTGGCAGGCGCAGCAGCAGTCGATAGCGAGGAAGCCCGTGCCGATGTTTGTAGAAGCGCCTTGCCGCTGCTACGCACCAGCGCAGTCGATCCACGCCACATGCTCATTGGGTTCCTGCACAATAGTCGACGATAATGGGCAAGGAGACGTCGCAGCCACAGACACAGTGTGCTGAAATGATGGCTATAGTGTATGTGAATTACACAGAAATCAGTTCGTGTTTGCCACATCACCCAATTTAGGTGCGGTACACATGTGATCCCATCTATACTTGGCTTTCACAGTTTGGACGCCTCCTCCTCCGCCTGCAAAGCCCAGCGCGGTGATCCCCTGCACGCGGCCCCTATCTTCCTCTGGCTGCGCGAGTCGGAGTGCATGCTACGAGGACTCGCTAGCTTCCCCTGCTTCTGAGCTTTCTGCTGCTGTCGAGCTCTGCCGCACCTCACGCTGCGGTGGTCGATTCCGCACCCATTTTCTGTTTGGCCATCACTGTTTTTGCACATTTTGGATCTCAATGCGGCTGCTCCACTCGCTGCTGGCACTCGCGGTGCTGCTGATGAGCGTGCGCTTCTCATGGGCTGCAATCCTGCTTCTGCGCGTAACTTTGTGGACAGCTACACGCCTGCTGCAGGTGACCGTGCTGCTCGTGGGCAGTGGAAGCTTCTGGTGGGTGCTGCGATCGTATCAGTTGCAGAAGGAGCAGGAGCTATTGGACCAGGCGCTACTCAAATTCAAATGCTACAACAGATACCGAAGCCGCGTGGGTAGCGGCAACAACTTCAGCGCTGGTGGCGAAAACGGATTCTCTGCTTCGACCTCTGGGGGCACCATGACCGATGCTGGCTTCCAGCTGAGAGTACTCAAGAGACTGCCTATTGTAGCGCACTTGCGCACGTCCTGGAACTTACCGTCCGAGATTTGTGACGAGATCGCGGCCCTAGTGAAGTCGATTGTGAGGGACTATGTGAATTACTGGTTTCAAGCCATTTCTCCCAACGAGGAGTTTCCCAATGACGTCAAATTTTTACTGGCAGATCTGCTGGGTGCAGTCGCTTCGCGAGTGTTGGAGATTGACTCATCTCAGGCGCTTACGATGGTGGCGAAGAGCTTGGAGCTGTTGAGGTTGCACTTGGGCTGGTTTCGAGAAGCTTACGCGCAGTTGGCCGACGAGTATCCAGAGTTCTTTGAAGGCGACGAAAGTGACTCTAATCTGCTCAAGCGACAGGAATATGTGACGGCATTTGTACAGAGATCGCCGTTTGTTCATCCGGGTTGCGTGGGGACTGGAACTCCAGCGACACCGACAGCTGCAGGACACAGTAACAGCAAGAAGAGCGTGAGTGAAAATGCAGAAGCAGCTTATCTTCGACATGTTGCGACGCAATTGCTGACTCAATTGAGGCCTCAGCTGGGGCAACAGCATGGCACCAATGTGTTTGTGTCGATCGCAATGAATTTACTGCGAGAAATCACGGCCTTTAATATCCTCAAGCCTCTGTCCGAGTACTCGCAGCCACGCTATGCAAACGAGATCGTGTTGTCCTGTCTCCAATCGTTTCTCGATGACAAAGATGTGGTCCCAATGTCTTCATCGGGTAATGGTGTTGGAATGGTGCCAAATTTGACGCTGAATAAACTGCGATCGACGTCCAGCTTCTTGTATAAGGCCAGCAGACGCAGTGGCGAGCAGGCAGAAGCAGCTTTTCAGGCGGTCGTCGAGGCTGTGGCTAGTGCTGCGTCCTCGGCCGCAGCAGGTGCAGCCGGTGCAGCTGAGATGGTGTTTGAAGGAGAAGACTGGGCTGATACAAGTAATCCGTTTGTGTTTGGTAGCGCTGTGTTCGCTGCCAACTCGGGTGGATCAGCTGGTGAAAAGAAAGCGATGCCTTCAATTTTTACGCTGGACGATCGCCTTAATGTCTCTAAGGCTGCAAAGATGATGAATCCTCGTGGATTGATTCCAGGTGGACTGCTGTCACACAAGATGACCAGCGAGAATAGTCGTATAAGCTCGCACATGGACGACTTGAAAAACGCTAAGGCTAATATCGGCTCCAGCTTGAACTCGTCTATTGGAAAAGTAAAGAGACGCTTTCGTACACTTGGCAGTCATCAAATGGAGCCACTTTCCACCCCTCCTCTTACTGCTGGAGCGGGTGCTGCAGCACGAATGATTCGGAAACCAGGGCAGTTATTTCAAAAGGCGTGGAAACGAGGAGAATCAGGCGTGGCCTCACCGACCCCTTCGTTTGATGATGGTGCAGTCACGCCTAGAGGTGGTCGCGACAGTGCGCATAGCATGAGCTCGATTAATTCCCTGTTGAGTCCCATGAGTGATGAAGTGGAAATGACCCCTCGAACGGCGAACGAAACGATGAAAATGGCTATGGTGCGTGATCGTGTTGTGGTGCATTTCGAGAAAGCAGTGGCGAATTACACAAAAATGTATGAGGAATGTCCTGAAATGCACAGCTCAGCGCGCTCACGTGAGCTGTACGATCTCCTTTCCGCGCTGGAAGATATTTTCATGTTAGGCTTTCGCAATCACGCTTCAAAGATGTCTTCATTTGAAGATGAGGAGGACAACAAAGAACTTTCAACTCCCCCACATTCTCCAAACGTTAGACGACGCTCATCCCTGCCAGTTACGAAAGTGGATTTGACGTCTCCGCATCGCGATAGTATGGGCACGAATACAGGGAGCGATTCCGATGAAGATGCAGATGACAACCAGTATTATTGGGAGTATCTGGCGCGAGACAGACCTGGTGCAGAGAGTTTTAATGCTCATTGGCGTTTTGTGGCTTCTCAGTGTCCAAGTTGCAGTCCGAGCGAGTCATTTGTTTCAACTCGTGGAGTTCAGTGGCTACTGGGTGCTTTAGCGAGAGGATCGCTGGGGACCTTCTGCGCTGAGTTATATACTCACAGCGACGTTACGGAATCATTCTACGAAAGCTTTGCTATTTTATTTGATGGGACGCTTATGGAATCTGTGGTGAGGACTCTATCCACGCTTGATAAGCTTAAAGTGTGCTTTGACGAAACTACTAGTTTTCTTTTGGGGCTACACAACGACGCAGGCCAAGATCTCGGTATTTCACCTTCCAACCAGTGGCGATCTCGTAGTGTGACCTCCCCAAGCGCCCCTGTTCGTGTGTTGGAACGAGTATGGGAGACTGAGCGTTATGTTCCAATGAATGGGTGGGTCAAAGCAACGGATAAACGGTGGAACGAGCTTCCATCATCCGAGTGGGTTTGGGAGGACGATTGGACATTAGAAACTGCAGGAACTGACGCGGGCGAATCATCAGACAGCGAGACGCCCAACTCATCGTGGGAATATGCCAAGACATTCGACGACAATTTCCACGAGAAAGAAAAGAAATTCGATTCCGTGCGACGACGACGGTGGATACGTCGAAGGTATCAACTGCCTCCTGTCCTGACACTTGCATTTCCGTCGATGTCTCATGACACTTTCAGTGTGTCGTCTCCATTGGCAACATCAGCCGTTCCTAATGGCTTGGGCAGGGCGAGGAAGTTGAAACAACGCTTTAACGTTATGAAACTTGATAAGAAGAAGGACCAGGGAATTACCGCTAAGATGTCGATGCTGAGGAGACGATCGAAGAGTTTTGATAAGGAGATGCCAGACAGTCCGATGAGGAATTCAACGCTGGGGATGATGGACTCTGATGACTCACATCAAACATCAAGTAAAACGTCGGCCTTTATGAAAGCTCGCGCCTCCATCCCATCGCTTCGCCGTGGAGTTTCCAACAAGAGTATTAAATCCTCTGTGTCTGAGGCGCAATCGGTATCAACGCAACTCTCTGTGGACGATGACCCTGTTACTCTCTACGACAATGATGAAGAGGATGAGGAAAATCTATGTTTCCGCTGTCTCAAAGCGTTTCCAGCGTCGAAATCCGGTGTGGGGGCCTGCCAAAGCTGCCACCAACGCGTGTGCGCTTCGTGTCTGAATTTCCACGCTTTTATGGTGTATCCGCCGCCGCTCGAAACGTCCAAGAAAGCACGAGTGTGTGGGAACTGCTACGATCGCCTTGTGAACAAGTACAAGCTGCGTATAGAGGCCCATGTCAGCAAATACTTGATCAAGGAGCGCGAACGTGATATGGATACATTCAGCTTCAGCATGTCCAACAGCTCGAATGGAAATCCTACCAACGGTACCCCGCCATCTCCTTCGAGTAGCGGTAGCCATGTAGGTGATTCCGCCTTGAGTCCGAGTATTAACCGCGCAGGGAGTACCAAGTTCGAGATCACTGTCAAGATTAAGGACGACAGTGCGTACGCCTGGAGTGTTATCAAGACTTTCCACGACTTCGAAGTGCTGGAGAAGCAGTTGGCTGAAAAGCTCAAGAAACAAGAGAAAAAGTGTGGCGTGGGGTGTCAGGCGTGTCATTTGAGGGGTGTCGATTACATGGAGATGATTTCCATCAAACCTTCTCTGAAGACGGTAGCGGCGGCAACTCTGACGTACGAGAAGCGGCTGCACGTTCTGGATCAATTCTTGCAGCAATTGTTGGCGTGTGATACGTTGTGTCAAAGCTCAGTGGTGCAGAAGTTCCTTTTACTTGCCAACGCCTACGGGACGTCCCGTACGAACAGCAATCCGTCGATGTCCGCGTGGGAACCAGGTGAAAGTTTGAATTCGCCGTCAGCATCGTCTTCTACCGGCGGTGGTGTATTGGGCAACGCAACTGGAGGTGGTGCCGCTGGAGTGGGTGGTGCTGGAGGTGTACTTGTGGAGAACGGCAAGTGGAAAAAGGGCAAGTGGATCGCGCCGGATGCCAACTCAAAGGTGACGAAGATGCGCGTTCTACAGAAGATCGAGGTTAGTCTGTTTGCTGTGCTAGGCGAAGTCTTCGAGTTCGACGGCATCGGTATGGTACGTCGTCAGATCTTTTCGATGACTCGGTCGTTTATCAAGGCTTTCCTCGGTGCCTCACACTTCCGGATGCTGGAGCGACAATTCCTCTCTTTCACGGACCCAAAGAAGCTCTCGGGTTGGATTGGTGACCTCCGACTGTACATTTTCCCAGACCCAAACGATGCCAGTGTTGTGCCACCTCCGCCTCCTGACATGCACGTTCTCCGCAAAGACTGTCTCGAAGCAATCCTTGCCAGCTTCCCCTCAAAGGCGCTGTCGCTGTTCGGCGATACAGCTTGTGAGAATGCGGCACTCAAGTTGCACGAGTTCCTCCAGCACGAGGTGTTCGTCAAGAATCTGCTCTTTAGCATCACGGACGAGCTGCTTGTGCATCTCTTCCCAGACTCGTCCACATTTAAGGGCAAGAAAGTATCGGGAGGGTCCTCAACAGCATCCAACCCTTTGTCCCCCTCGGCTATCGAGGTCGCCACTACCATCGCAAAGGAGGTTGTTGCTGCGTCGATAGATGATGACGCAGCCGGTCTGGCCACTCCGCCACTGTCGCCGATTCTGGTAGCCTCCCCCACCGACAAGAAACTCAAGGTTGTCATCTAAAAAAAAGTGAAATTCCGAAGAATAAAATGTGAAATTTACGAATGCGAGACGACTGCTGCGGCTGTGGGGCGCTTGTGCTTGGTGCCACCTTCCTCCTGATCCTTGATGGATCGCTCCAATGCAGCCAATTTCTGTGCGACGCGGCTTTTCTTCTTGGTGCGGGCGTGCTGGTTGATCTCCTTGAGTCGCTCTTTGCCGTGCGCCTTGACGTCGCTCAGAGCCAGCGACGTGCCGGCTTGCAGCACGCGACTGGCCATGATGTTCTCCAGATTTTGATTGATGAAGCCCGTGACAGCCTTGCTGCCGTGGTTCTTCATACCGCTGCAGCCACGACGGATCTCTGTGGTAGGGTCTGCATGTTGGCGTATTTAGTGGTGAGGTTTTAGTTGACAAGGACCATAGAATATGTAACGTACTGCCTTTCTTGGTGAACTTGGCCGCGGACTTCTTGTGTGAGTAGCTCACGGCCTTCTTGGAGGGCCTGGAACCTGCATTCTTGACGCCCCTCTTGCCCTTCTTTAGGTACCCGCTGCCCTGCGCCATCTTTATTTGACTTGTGCACCAGTCAGTGAACACAATAATTGTTTTGATTCTCAAAAAGCAAAATTGTCCGGATAACATTAAGTACGAAAACTAAATTCCGTCAAGCAATAATTGTGCAAGTTAAAAACTCCAGTGGCGTGTTTGGGATCTCGCGAAATCACCAAAAGTTTTGTTGCGGATTGACGCCGATTGCTTAAAGTAGTAGACGTTCGTCTCGAAAACTCTCCTCCATTCCCATGGATACTTTCATCTGTATCGTTCTCACGCCGTGGTCGCCACCACGGTGCGCGCACGTTCGGCTCGGGCATGCACCATTGCAACGAACTTCTTTTCTCTCTACCGTGGCGACGTATATTGTGACCGCACGAAAGCTCGAGAATCGATAACACCGATTGACCCACGTACATGTAGATCGCTCGTAATTTAAAACTCCACCCTCAGCAACAACGAAGCCTGATCCAATACCTGCGGCGAAGACGGTTGATCTGATCCGATCACTCGCGCTAGTTGCTGCAGAGGAGCTCACCCAGCATCGAACAGCGCGATGGGTTCGTAACCTCGGTCCCTTGTGCAGCAAAAGTTAAGATCTCCGTCGAACGCAGCCTCTGTGGAGAAGTTGTCACCTTCTCCGAGACTCGGCTGTGCCAAGCAGCGATCAGCATGACACGAGCTCTCTGCTCGTCGTCGCATTGCGACGGCACTTTTACGAGCGATCGTTTCATCGTGACGGGTTGAAGCTTTGGTGGCGATTTGCATCGGACGAGCCTTTGAAGTGCGGCAAGGCAACATGTTGCTCCCGCTGCGGCGTGGTGGATTTCAAACCTGGGCTACAATATAAGGAAAATGAGCGCAACATTACAATGGAATGATCTCATGAACGGGGACGAGAGCTGCCTCTGGCATTGCCAATGGCTCCGCATTGCGGAGTCTGCAAACAGCAAAAGCTGAGCAAAAAGTGGGCAAGAAGGCACTCGCACACACTTGAGTGCGATACCGCCTTGACTCACCTTGGACGCCAGGATGGCGGTGCCGCCGATGGTATTTGTGGCTGGGAGCGACGAGAGCGATTCCATCTGCGTGGCTTGTCCAAAGGGCTAGTCGCCACGCTGGACGCGAAAGAAGATCTTTGAAGTGCTTGCAACCTTTGAGGCAGGATCGCAATGCTCGACTTGGAAGTGGCTCAAGTGACTTGGGTAGTCTTCGAAACACCGTTAGTGTTGATGCTACATCAGCGGTTATTACCCTCGTGGTCCACCAATAATGTCCATGTACGCCAGACGCGTCGACGCGGTGTCTAGCTGTCTCAATTGCCTGCTCATGCAATGTCGGCAATTATTAATAATGTTCATCTAGCAAGTGACTAAAAGCAGGCTGTCCACGCAGCGTTCCGACGTCGCCACATCTTGTGGATCAACCGGGACGGACAATGCCAGCTTGGTACCCCCACCGGTGGGGGGTGGCTGAGATCGTTAATTGCCTGTACTTTAGTAGGTTCTACTTGTCCTTCCAGTCGAACGACTGTAGCCATGTGCATTTGGCATTTGACATGTGGCAGTAATGGCGGAGAGGTTGCACTCGTAGCCTCAATGATGAGGGCAAAGACGAGCAGAGCCACAGAGGCAACTCAGAGCAAACAAGCTGCTGCTGCAGGTGGTCCTTATGAGCCGAGGCATAAGCGCCTGCTGAAAAGCCCAACAAAAGGTCTTCTCCTAATTACTTCACTGTGACGTTCATTTCCGCCATGGCCGCCCGTGTTTATCTCGCCGCAGCCCAGCTGTGCTCAGGAGCATGACCATCAGGACGTCGCGGGCACGTGCGTCGCAGCCTGCAATGCAGGGACATGGGCAACGTCAGCGCTGCAGAGGGCGTCGTTGTAGGGTTGAACCGGGAAGGGTAAAGTTTGCATTCTACATGTTACCATGGCAACAAGTTTGGATACTTTTGGCTGATGATTTTCGGAGACTTTTGGAAATTAGTGGAGACATTCGTGCTGATACTTTCGGTGCGTACCCGATACGACACCTTGTCCAGTATCGACAGGCTCTCATTCTCGTGTCGCTATGATCGGAACGACACTCCGCAACCACGAACGCTGCTCCTCGTGCGAATCTTGTCGGCTGCGAAGGATCCGGAAGGAGTGCCGGTGGCAGCGTTGAGTCAAACAGTAGAAATCTAGACCTGCCAACACTTCGGATGGAAGTGATCGCATCGAAAAGTTTCACTTTTTCTTACCAAATTGCACCCACGTTTCCATCGCTATCACAGTAACGAGCTCTTTGATTCCCGTTCGATGGAGGCCTCCGTCTCAAGAGTCTTGGTAAGAGAGGAGGGTTGCCTTTCAATGCTGTAGAGGCTGCATCAGCTTGAGGTCAGGTCTCTCTTCAGCCATCTGCCGTCAAGGTTGTCGCGTTGCACTGCCCTCAAATCCAGCCGGACCACGTGAACTGGCTCGTGGAGACTTGCCGATTGATGTGCATGGGGCCTCTCCCCTCCATCGCGAGTCAATTCCCAATTTGCCTTCTCGTGTGCACTCCGCGTTCGAGTCTGCAGATTACACAGACACTCAAGGAAGAATGAAGGTCTTCTCGACTCTCGCTTTGACGGCTGTCTTCGCCGTGGCCGTCCGTGCCCAGTCGTCCACCGAGTCCAGCGCCGGCACGGTGACCGCTGCCTCGGAGGCTGCGTCCAGCTCTGGCACGTCCACCTCGACGTCCACGTCCACCACGACTTCGACCACTAAGACGTCGGGCTCGGGCGCAAATGACTTCATGAGCTCTCTGTCCACTGGATCGTCCTCTGGCGCTGAAGCTGCCTCCTCGGACTCGTACCACATGACACCCGTGCACGTGGTGCAGGCCCGTGTGCAGAGCGACATGCCGGTGTGGAATGACGAGCTGCAGCGCTTCGTGTCGTCCTACTATGATGACGGCACTGAGGCCTACGTGGGTCTCATGGACACTGTCAACACGGCGTCTGTGGAGGGTGCTCTTATGTACGTGCAGGCTGAAGGAATCAACTACGACACGCGCTCGTCGGAGGAGCGATGCACGCGTAAGAACGAAATGGCTTACGTTGTCTTCTACGAGTTTGCTATTGCCCAGACGAATGAGACGCTGGCGCTGTACGGAGACACGTCGAACCAGCCGGAGTACGGTACGATGCTCGCTATGGACTCTGGCCGCTGCACGCCTAGCTCCACCACGTCGTCGGGCGGTGAGGGTTTCCCCACTGCTTGCTACTACTTCAACGGTGACGAAGGCGAGCCGGAGGTTGGCCCCTTCGTGGGCGGCACCATCAAGGAGACGGACGCTCGTGCTCCCTACCCGAACAACGTCTGGTACTCGTTCCCCAACTCGTGCCCTCTTGAGGAGTGGAGCGACAAGACGTCCGAGTGCCGTGCTAGCACCCGTCAGGGTCTGTGTGACATTGGCGTCATGCCTGATGGTGTGAGCTGCACGTACGCTTACCGTGTACTCGGCTTTATCCTGATCGACGACCTGGTCGGGATCACGTCGATGGTGAGCAACACGACGGGCGAGACGTACGCCAACTTCACGGAGTTCTGTGAGGATGGCGGTGTGGAGTTCGAGGCCTCTGAGAGTGGCGAGTGGATCGACGGTATCTCCTTCTGGGAGAACCCTCAGGACGAGGACGCCAATGCTGAGCGTGCCAAGAAGCTCGTGGAGGCCTATTACAACCTGACGAACGGTCTCATTGAGACGTCTGGCCTGGACTCGAGTATCATTGAGCACATGCTTCCCCTGCCTACCCCGGAGGAGCTCGCGGCTGAGAACCCGGCGTGCTACCTCAACGTTGAGAAGTGCAACAGTGACGTTGGCTGCAAACGTGAGCTCTACGGCTCCACGTGCACGGTCTGCAACTCGACTTCGGACGGCTGCGAGACCCCGCCCAGCGACTGGAAGTTCCCTACTCTGGAGAAGGCTGTGGGCGAGAACGGTGGCACGGGTGACGCCTCGGCTGACGGCTCCACCACCAAGGACTCGACCGCTTCGGGCAACGACGGCGACTCGAGCTCCAGCGGTGCTGCCATGAACGGCGTGTCGGCTGTGCTCATGTCGACGGTGCTGGCTGTGGCCACTGCCCTTTTCTTCTAGATGCCTCCCCCATGGTACTTTAAGCTACTGCGCAACAATGGTTAGATGGCAGGAGTAAGAGGAATGAAACTTTTGATTCTGTTTTGTAATTTTAACACTTGCGGGTTTTGCATTTGTTTGATAAGACCTCAAAGTTGCGAAGTGCTGTCAGTGACGCTGGCTGTTGCAAAGTGAACTCTTTATCTAACTTTCACCTGTTTCCAGTTTTGTTGCTGGAACTCGAGTCATGACCCAAGCGCTTACGCTGTTGCTGCGTTCGTGTGGGAACTCGTCCAGAATGGCTTCAAAACGCGCACTCGTGAGCACGAACAGACTCGTGACACACAACGCCATGCACGTGGCGTTACGCGGGGTTCCAAATAGTAGCGAGCGCTCGCCAAAATAGTCAAATGGGCCTTTGTAGATCTTTTCCTCGCGTTCTGTTTGCTTGTTGATGTCGGCAACTGTGCCGTTGGGGGACATGTGGGCCACCAAGCTCTTCTGCCTCTGTCGTGCTGGCTGTACATCGGACTTCTTACGCATCCGAGCTGATGCATACACACTTACTCGTACCCACTCGTTTACAGAAACCAATGGCGAGTTGTTGCCATCGCCACGTTCATGGTCATTACCTTCCTCTTCTTCTCCTGCCGCGACACCATCCGTTTCAGGCTGGATATGACGCTTTCGAACAGCCGAAATGAGGACGATGCCGCTCTCGACGATATACAGACTGCGCTCCATGTCACCTCGCTGGATAATAACGTCGTTGCGCACAAAGAACTCGTGCTGCAGAGCGGCGATGATCGCCCGAGCGAATGCAGGATCGCACCGCGTAAATAAAGCGACATTCTTCAATAGACTAGCGTGAACATGTTGAGCCAAGTCGTGCCGAACTGAAGGTGGTAAACCTCGTAGAAGTTCGCGCTCTCGCCGTCCACGACTCTCACGCCACGACAGAGCAAAGTACACTTGCATCTGACGCCATGTATCGCTAGGAAAGCGATGAAAGCGCAAGTAGTGGCCAACCTGAGCCACTTTCTCTTCATACTCTGCGCGTCGTCCCAGTTCCATGTCGAAATACTTGTAAAACCCGCCCGAGAGCATACTGAAGATCCCCACCGAGATAAAGATCACCGTCATTGTAACTAAAGTCTCGTGAGCGTTCATAGGCACAATATCACCATAACAAACCGTTGTAATAGCGCCGATACTAAAGTGATAAGTGCGTAGATACGACTGAATCAGCGGAACTTTCCGAACGTCAGCCAGAGTGCGAACTTGATCACCAAAAGCCAACATGTCTGGGGTAGTGAGCCAGGATTGCTCTCCATCGTCGTATACCAAGTACGAGACGCCATAGAATAAACACGAAAGCCAATGTGTCCCCAACAAGAAATCCAGAGCGAGTCGTACGAGGTAGCAGATACCTGGAGTTAATCTTCGCAGTCTTCTATCATACAACAAGAAACGTTGCAATCTGTCGCTCAGTGGTCGAAGATGTACAATACGCAGAAACCGGTTAATGCGCAAGAAGGCAAACGTGTGCCAATTCACGAGTCCACCCAGAGGAGCGAACAGAAGCGGCCACGCAGATGTTGCGGCTGGTGGAGGAGCATAACCAGCTTGACGGAGACCCACCACCAACCCGAACATGACCAGTTCTACCGGTAGAATCGACAACACATCCACCAAATACCAACCGTGGTGCCAATAGTGACGCGCGATGCGTTCCGGATCCGTCACGGATTCCCCACTACTAGTCTGGTACACGAAATAGTTGCGATGTAAGATGAAATCGATCACACACGCTATGTCTGCGATCAGATACTCCACAGTAAACCAGGCAATGACAATCCTTTCATTGTGAGTCTCGTTCAAAACACCATCCAAGAATCCAATTTGCAACGGGATAGCGATCAAATAGTAGAGCGTCACGACCAGCATAATTGAAGCCCAGACATCACGGAAGCGAGAGTTTGGCTCAATCCGAGCTGCTCGTATACTCGGAGCTGCCCAAATTGAATACGGGGAGCTTTGCACGTCGAGAGTGTCAGTGGTTTTTTTGGTCGTCGAGGCAAGCGGAGCCACTTTTCGGTTCGAAATGCTAATACGTCGCCTCCATCGCGACCACCATGACTTAACAATTCGTACGGAGCGTGTTCGGGAAGTAGCGGCTTGTGCTAGCAGCGGTGCACGTGTCTCGGTTTCAACCTTAGCGGTGGCCATACGCTCTTCCAGAATACGCACCTCGGACGGAGATAACGTGAACTTAGACCGCAGATCGACAGGGTCGGACTGGATCGAGTGTCGCCGCTTTATAGGAGCTCGAAATTTCGCTGTGACTTGCTTGAGACGATCTTCTCGCTTCTCACTGTACGATGGCAGCACACAGATAGAAACCCGTCGCTGCATCACTCTCCGTGTACTTCCATCGGCCTCGCGAAGACGTCGTAAGTCGTCACGCACATGTCCCCAAGCAACGTAGAAGAGCTGAATAGCACGAAGGCGTTTTTCGTGTTTTTTCCAACGAAACTCGGTACTTGCTGAGAGCCTGGCAAGCGGCATTAAATATTCATCCGTCGCGATAGAATTCGGTAGTAGAGGTGACACTGTGTCGTTAAACGTTGGCACCAGCGTTTGTGAGACATCGGTGGACGCTTTTGGTGGTACAGTTTTGTCGCGGGTACTTCGAAATGACTCCAGTATGCTACGGTATGAATCCAGCGTTTCAGTACTCTCTGATACGCTAGACACATCTGAAGCCGATACGCGTCTGCGGAACGATAATACCGGTGTTCGAATTGGTGATGGTAGAACTGAAGTCACCTCACTGCCACTGGTGCGTCTAGATATTACAGGTCGGCTAGGAGATGGTTCTCTTGATTTGGTACTTTTCAGAAAAGGAATTGGTCGTCGAGATGCAATTGGTGGACGCGTAGGACCCAATGCTGGTACGGGTGAATCATTCTTGATGTAGAAATTCTTGGCAATGTTCAAAAATCCCCAGGCCGTTCGTCTGTACATCCGCGTCACCACAGCAAGCACAGCTTCTTCCACTTGTGCTCGTACGACTGGGGGCCAAAGACGATCCCAGACACGTCGATGAAGCTGGAGAACTTGACAACTTCGTACAGCACGAACTAAAAAGAGTCGTCTTGCGCCCGGCAAGAAGAACGCAAACTCACCGAACAAAGCTCCATCTGTGAGAGCTCCATACACAATTCCAGTCCCGGGCGCCACACGTTCTGCACACCCGTGCTTTAGAATATACAGGCGAGTTCCCATTCGATTGACGTCACAAATAACATCACCAGGCAAGTAAATCTCGAGAACCAAAGCACGTGCCACAGTTTCCAGTTGAGCACGACTTAGTGACGCGAATTCAGGTAATGGTTGCAATAGTTTGCTGTACATTTCGTCAGCAACAAGAGCGCGCAATGCACCAGGCAAGTCTCGTAGCGTTTTATGCAAGTCTAGCTCCAATTCATACTGGGCCTTGACAGCCAGACCTTTCATGGCTCGTTGTCGTAGGGATTTGGGTAGTGCTCGTTGTTTTGCGTACTGCTGGAAATCCTCCACGCGGTCTTTTCGTTGTTTTTGCGATTTATCAAGTGTGATCATCAACGCGTTGATACGACCGATAACTTGCCCGATGAAAACCCACCCAAGTACACATGTGAACAATTCGTAACATGACTCGAGGAAATTTCTAGCGAGAATATCACCAAAGCAGTCAACCGTAAACTGCAAAATAAAACCAAAATTTAGGTTAGGTTAGATCACGGATAATGGCAGTAAACTATAATAACTTTGTCACTTACTGCTGAGAGACACCAGTACATTGAGCGCATGTAATGAACCATGGGGCTATTGGGGTTTTGCCTTAACACCAGGTCGACGGAGATCCAACTCGTTGTCACGAGTCCCGTTTCGAGTTGTGTCCAGCCTAGCAGGTAATACAAACTAGCAATGTAGTGGGCGGTGGACACAAAGATCAGGAAAAACTTGACCAGGTCGAAGATGCTTAAAAGCACCGCATTGCCACGTAAAAATCGCTCCTGGATTTCCGTATGGATTTCCTCGAGTAGTTCACCAAGCTGCAGACAACGCAAAAGGCGTGGCAACCGAGCTGCAGTCATCCAAAATGTGTCACCACGAAAATACAGAGGAATCATTCCCAGACAGTCCTGCCACAAGCGACCACTTGCTCGGTAGCGTTGTTTGATAGACTGCGGATCAAGAACGGGTTCACCAAACTCAATGTAACCCAAATGTCCAAATTTTAGGAACACGTCAGCATAAAGCAGTATATCCAGTGCATAGTCGATTCCAGTGAACCAAGTCATCGTAGTGGCGCCAGGATAAGGGAGGAATGCTAGTCGGAATACAATAACATAGAAATTGTACACGAGGATAAACCCAATACTGCGGTGCCACCAGCGAGCGAAAATCTTGGTCGGATCTAGCACATGTGCACCACGTTTCTCAAGTTTTGACTTGCTGCTGTCCACGTAAAGTGACGTACAAGTTCCCAATACACGCGCGATTTTCTTGTTACTTTCGCCCTGAAAATTAGCACGATGTGCTCGCACTAAGCTCCGAGTCTTTTCACGAAGCTCAGCTTTTCTTCTTCGCATACGAGCCACGTAGTGAGGAAAACGAGCAGCTAAAGCCAAGAAGTCTCGACGTCCAATCACTGCTACCCGTGTACTTGATACGACGCGAATAGTGACCTCGTAGACTTTAGGAATGTCAGCCAAACTTTCCTCTCCAAAGTAGTCGTGTTGCTTAAGTACAGAGATCGGAACGGGAGCTGCATCAGCGACTGTCGGATCTTTCAATGGGCCTTTGAAACTACCGAAGCGGAAGAGTTTTGGCAGACGCTCACTTGGCGTCTCTGACAGTTGAGGTTTCATCATATGATGCGAAGGAATGATTGAAGAACGAGACGTAATGGAAGAGCGAGATCGAGCGGTGTGACCTTCCTCTTCTACGGCCTGAAACTTTGGTCGGATAAAAGGTCTTACAGCCATCACTCCGTCCTTAAATCGACTACCCTGCAAAGTGTTACGTGTTCGTCTCATAGCTGCAGTAGCCGCTAGGTGAATGGATTTCCTCGCATTGCGACTTGCAGATATCAATTTAATGTTCGGAATCGCGTTGTGCTCAATTGGTACCGGAGGTAGGAGACACTCGAGTTCGCCACTGAGGATCACAAAGAACTCTGTGGCCAAGAGCCCTTCTTTGATAACCGTAACATTGCGTAAGAAATGTTCACACGTGATAGTCAGCGCTAGTTGTTGCATGAATAAAGCGGCATCACCGTTGGCATTGGAGGCTCGGAAGCCGCACTCTTCGACGAAGAGTGCACAGCGACGTAAGTCTGGAGCATACAACTGCGATGTTATAGCACGACGCAGAGACCGAGGGAAATGTTCAAGTAGCTCTAGATCGCCCACTGCGCTGCCATTTAGTTTCCACTTTGCCTCGTAGTAGCTGCGAATAGTGCGCTTGGTAGCATCCGATACAGACGCCATGCTAGGACTCATCAATAATACATTAATCCCCTCAATCCGGTCGTGACGAATCGTACTCAAAACGTTAATCTGCGCCAACACACTCGATAGCGCACAACTCGTGATGTAGCAGATATTTGCACTAAAGAAGATCCAGAGCGCGTCTACAATGCACTCACGAGTTGAGAACGCCACAATATCGCCAAACCCAACAGTAGACAACAGGACAATACTCCACATCATTGAGCGCAAGTACGGCGCGTCCAGATCGAAAGTACTGCGGTCGTACATATACCACGTGCAGTTATCGAAGCGACTGGCGTCCTCCAAACACGTAGAAGCTGAAAGTGAACTCGGCGCCACACCGTTTACTGGTAATCCTCCTTCGAAAGACGTTCTGTCCGCTACAGCAAAGAAAATGCACGCTGCAGCATGAGCTGTAGCCGAGCAAAAGATGACAGTCTCAGCCAAAAGTTGAAGTGGTGGGCCATAGCCACGTCCTGCCAGAACTCCAAGAAGTTTACCACGTAACTTTCGTACGCGAAATAACCGCAGGAGTCGTAAACACCGTAACATGTGACTGCTACGTCGACTGAACAGTTCTTTCGGTAAAATATCCCAGATCAACGCAGCAGGTGCAAGAGCGACGATCTCCAACAGGAGACTCTCGTGCTGTAAGTAGAGCTGAAAAATCTGTGACCTGCGCGTGGCTAACGACAAATTAGGCGCATTTAACGATGATCCAAGAGCTGCATCGGGTTCTAGTTTACGACTTGACGTTCCTAGAAATTCATCGTCTAACTCGACTCCAGGAAATAGCCGAACGAAGTAGAGAGTTCTAAGCACCAGGTCGACATAGAAAAAAGTCTCCACAAATAATGAAACCAGAAAAGTAGCCATCTGAACACTGCGAGGTGTAGTTCCATCGCTTTGTGTTGCAGCGACGCCATTAAACAGTCCAAAGCCACGTTGGAAAGCGAGATGATACGGTACCTCTGCGAGTAGATACAGCATTAAAACGCACTCTGCTAAGGCCCATTGCTGTCGAAAAATCGAGTTGGGCATCCGCCACGTTGCAGTTTTAGCGACAATCAACTGCGTGGCGGTGCTGGATAATGTGCGATCAGGATTCAAACCGGCCGTATCAGCGGCAATAGCAGCAGCAGCGCTTCGTAGCCTTCGTGCTTCAACAGCTTGGAGTAGTAAACTTCCGTGGCCTAAAACTTTGGAATGCCGTGCTCGCGTCTTCATCGAAGTCACATCATCATCCTTAGGAGCAATCATCAAAGGTTTGGTACCGAACTGCTGTAATAACAGCGAAGCGTACACTAGTTTGGTGAAATGTTTCGCCAGCGCAGCCTTAAACGCTTTTGTCGGCAGATACCAAACTTCACAGTACGTCGCTGCCTCCAGTCGATGTCGAGCTACGTGACGTTCAAACAAGGCATATTCAGCGTACGCATTCCCCGCCGTGATGCGTCCAATAGAAGCTCCACACGCGTCAATCAATCGCACTTCACCACACGCCATGATAAACATCTCGTCTGTTTCTCCAGGCTGCAGAATAGTCTGCCCTGGGGCGTACACATCTCGCACTAAAGCCTCCATCACCGTGCGTAGGAAAGCTCCTTTCTTTCGTCGAAAAATGACCAGAGGGGCGATGGCTTTATAGCGAACGTAGTGGGAGCACTGTGTTCGATAATGTGGTGGCAATGCTGCCAGAATCAGTTCCTCTTCAACGCCATTGCGAGTGCGCTGCATGTACTGGAAATAAGTGTCTACAGAAGTCACAAGTTGCGCTGGGGCCTTGCGAGCTATTAGAAACTGCATGAAACATAGCGAATATACATCAGTATACTCGTGAATACATCTGTAACATGTTAATGTACATACCTGCAATGCTTGATCGAGGCGAGTACTGATATTGCTGGTTAAGTTCGCATCTTTGTGTGCGAAGAAAAACGTGTACGCCGTCAGGATGGCAGTTACCCAAAGGCCAGCGAAGAATTGGACCACGATCCGATACCCTGTTTCAACTAATGTGACTGGGATGAGGTCACCTTGACCCAGTGTTACCACAGTCTTGCAGGCCCAATAAAGCGTTCGAATGTATTGTCGAAAACATGAGCCATTCTCCAGACGATCACGCAGTACCCAGCACCCAGTCGAGACGCATTTATTAAAGTCCAAGCCACATTCCCAGTGTGCTACCAGCATGTATCCGCACGCTGCAACATGGCAGAAATAAATTCCATACACGAAGAGAACCAGCACGTTTGCTACTGTACCGGACGACAGCTTCTGCGGTATGCCTCCTATCGTTGCAGCAAGTTGAGAATCGATGCGGCTGTGCGCTGTAAGAAGACGAAATAGCCCCAACACGTGGAGGATATTGATACGCTGACCACGTAAGATCATGAGCGCCAGAAGCTCCCAAGGGATGCAATATAACACCAGGAGCAGCCACGCTATCCATCCATCGGGTAGAATCCTCTTCTTGCCACTGCTGGTGGTGCTTCGAATACTTCGACTGCTGCTGGTATTTGTCTTAATTTCTTCTTCCTCTTCGTCCTCCTCCTGTTCGGGAGAAATCTCGGATTGACTCACTTTGAGCTTGAGAAGAAGACGGATCCCTACTGATAAGTGTACACGCGAGTTCCAAACACGCAAACAACTCCCTGCCATGTCCATAATTGTGAAAATAAGAATCCCTGGCTTCCACACGTCGTGGCCCACTGCGTCTTGCCATGGGTCAAAGAAGAATCCGGCGCGTAATGGAGCACTCAGTAAAATGTACAATGAGTCCGTGAAACTCGCCGCTGCCAAGATATTTGCCACTGTACACCACGTTTTCCATGCCATAATCCACGCTTTGAATCGTTCAACAAGAACTACGAGAGATCGTTGTCTCAGTCTTCGTCTGTTAGGAGGCGTACGCTGATCACGTCCTCCTTCAGTTGGCTTGGGTGCTACTTGAATCGCTCGGGTGAATCGTTGGGATAAACTCGGGATAATTGAGGCTCGCTGAGGCATCGAGAGGTTCGATAGACCAATTCGTTGGGCGTCTCGTACGATTCGATTCTCTAGAACATCGTGTGCCGGGGCATGCGGGAGGACGACGCCACTCACTGCATGATCTCGAAACTCGGACAGCCCTGGCCACTCGTGCTTTACCATGATAGAATCCACACAACGAGGGAGAACAAGATCGAATACCACGAAATGTCCACACTTCGCTGTGTGCTGGGACGTTGGAGAGCGAAGCGACTGGGACTAGTAGGTCACGACTATTCTTGCTGGATGGATCCGTTTCACCTTTGGTGCTAACAGTAAACAACATTGGTAAACAGCAAGTTAGTCCTTTTAACCCTTTTAATTAGAGCTGGACAGTGCTACAATGTGAGAGTATCTCATTCTAATTAATAAATATACTTCTTCATGTGTGCTCACCTCGGAAAGCAATACTTTTAGCTGGTTCTTAGGCCTCGTGTATCAGTACGATCAACACCGCATCTCGGGAATGGCAGGAAGACACTCACCACAGTCTTGATCACAGGCGGAGATCAAAAAGGTTGTCTCTTAACACAAGTTCTTCGGAACAAGGCACAGCCTTCTAATGAGTGTTGGGCTCGTATCAAAAGAGCAGCCGGATCAGAAGAAGACAACAGCTGCAGTGATATCGTCAATCACGTCTTCTTCTGCGTCCCATCGATCGCGCGCTTCCTCTACAAGCGCTGTACATGCCTCTTGCGGCGCCATCCCCGAGTCAACAATGCACGCAGCTACAAAATCGATGCACTCGTCTGTCGTCATGAATTCCCAAATGCCATCACTGGCGAGTATTGCAAATGCAGACGGCCTCTCTCCATTCTTCTTGTCTACGCTGCTGAATTTGAGCTTCTCCACTGTAGTAACATCAGGCTCCGCTGTCACGCCTACAGTCTTAGCCACAGAGTCACCGAACGAGCGCGACATGGCCAATCCAGGCATATCTACATCCTGCAGCCAGACTCGATAGGATCCCCACTCAAACACGCGTCCATTATTCCGCTCAATGCGAGCGCATTCCTCTGGTACATCCGGCTTATGGTCTTTCGTCTCGCAGTGCAGTTCATACCGCTGATCCTCCTCTGAGTACCTCGCCACTACAGCTCGACTGTCTCCAATATTGGCAATAAATACGTCCGTCTTACGCACTAGCATGGCTACAGCTGTGGTGCCGCTCACACTGATGTCAATGGCGCTAGCTTCCAACGCGTCCACGACCGCCGGGGCCGCTCGCTGGAAAATCTCAGCTACAACGTCGCACGTGACGCTCGCTTTTCTGGTTATTACACTCGCTCCATTGCCATTAGCGTGAGAGGCTCGAGGAATCAGCTCTGTATACGCCTCGGCCACTGCTCGATAGTACTGTTCCCTTACAAAATGACTCACAAAAGCTCCCTGAGATCCGTGGCCGTCGAATATCGAGAAGAAAGTGGCGTCTGAGTCTCCAGCCAGAGCGTCACAGACACACAATGCGTCCTGATTCTCCTTACGACGTCGCAATGGGTCGTTGCCTGCTCTGGAGCGCGTACCCCATCGTAATCGCCCGTTGCTAGACCTGTACCCTCCCTCTCGGACGCTTGTAAACTCTGGTAACTCTACTCTATCGTCGTCTAAAGCGACGCCCGGGACGCCTCCACCGTATACGAGAACACTCGGAAGTTCAGCGTCTGAGTCTGTCGGCTCCTTCTCCGTCTGATTCTGCTTCTTGGGCGTCGATTTCTGCAGCTCCAAGACATCGCTTGGTTCTACAACTAACAGCGTCGTCTTGGCACGCGAGAAGCGTCGAGACTGCGGCGTGGCTGACTCGTCCTGCTGGTTCTCGTAGGGCGGTGAATCTCCCAGCATCAGCAGGTCTAGAAGAAGAAAAAGAGGTTAGGACGATTCAGATGAGGCGAGAGAAGAGACACACACACACACACACACACCTTCGTCCAGACAGACTTTGGTCAGGATGCAGCCCATTCGTCTCGGCGGCCGACGCTACGCTTCAACTTGGGCGAATGAAGCGCAAAAGGCGAGACGGGACGTGAAACGACCAGCCGCCGCGCTTTATTATTGAGGTGGAGGAGGCCAATATTGAGTTTGTGTTTTGTGTATGATGCTACCAGTTTGGCTTTGGCTGGATATTGGCAGCATCATACATAAGCAATAGGCAGCTGCGATGCAGTTGTAGTTTGCCAACTATCCATACATGTAGTTGATAGTTGTGATAAGAGTCGGCTTTAGTGTTGCCTATTATAATGCGAGGCGTGCGGCAGAGTTTGCTACTATGTCGAAAGGCGCAGCTTATTGAGACTGGTACGGCAAAATCAACTCGGCGTGTTGTCGTGAGAGTTTTGTCTGCGAATGAAGACACGCTGACTAACGGTCATTGTGGCAAAGGTAAACAATGAGAAGCTATACATGTACGCGGCTGTCATTTTGTACATTGTACATACTGAGCGAAATCCAGTATGGGTCTCGATAAGCCACAAAAACCATGTTACAACGCATAATTCATTCGAATGTTCACTCCATGGAATGAACGTTTGAGTGAATTATGCGTTGTAACATGGTTTCCGTGACTTCGTTTGAGCCAAACTCGAAACTCTTTCCGTAACGATGGCTGTGCTCGGTGTTTCTGTGCAGGGAGAGTCTTGGTTTCTGCAAGACGGATGCAATTATTGACTCCGAGTACTGTGACACAAGTATCAGCAGCTTCTGGAAGGTGTCATCGCTGGCCTACTCAATCCTCTCACCACACAATACCATAGGTGCTTTCGATCTACCCGCTGTCGATGCCCCTGTTTTCATTATTCATTACCAGCTCAGCCTTGCTCGACACAAACTCAAAACGCTTCAACTTCAACAATTCCTATTACTGTGAATCGTCAAATTTTGTCACTTCTATCGGATTCACACATTTCAGACAAAACTTAAGTTACTGTGCATTTCCGTTGATGAGGATGGTGCTGTTCCTCGAGGCTGAGGTACTGCGGCTGCTGGAGCTAGACGCAGAGCTGCGCTCTGACCCGAACAACATCTCGAAAAACGGTGTGCTGCTCAAGCAGAGCGCACGCGAGCAGCTGACGGCGTCGCTGAACAAGAGCTTCCCGCGGGAGCAGCCATGGACCGAGACCCAAGTGGCGGTCAAGTTCAAAAACTTACGCGGCGAATACGCCGAATATAAGTGGCTAAGCGCCCAGCCAGGCTTCAATGTCGACGGCATAGGTATGGGCGAGGAGTGGTGGCAGAATGCCAAGCGGCTGCGGCCCAAGTGCCACGCGTTTAAGGGGAAATTGCCCTGGGTCTTCGAGGCCCGCATGAAGCAGATCGTGGGCGACGGCGGCCCGGACTATTCGCAGGAACCGCCAGTGAAGAGGCGACTGGAAGAGAAGGAGCCAAAACTAGAGGAGCAAGAGCAGGAGCAACGCGTGGAGGTGGAGGCTGAAGACAGTGTAGGAATTAATACTGCCACAACGGTGGAGCCTTCGCCGCCGGTGGTTACTGCTGCTCCTCCGCGCCACAAGCGGAAGCGCAGCGACGAAGGAGCCGCCGTCCAATCAAGGAGAAATCGGGAGCAGGAACGGGAACCAGACAGCAGTGCGACGACTGCGAGCGACGATGCTGGGGGTGACTACAACTACAATCGCTCGTTGGCCAGGTCCGTGGAGAGAAGTTCGGTGGCGGCTGCCGGTATGGCGCGCGGCTTCCAGGATCTGATTGCCATTTTCCAGCAACAGACAGCCAAATGTCGAGAGCTGGAGCAGCAGCTGACGCAGCGCAACGCGGAGACTCCGTCGTTGGTCTTGGCTGAGCAGCGTAGTGTGCTGCTGGCCATCGCGCGCTCGCTGGAGCAGAGTACACACGCTACCGCCGACATGGCGCAAGGCTATCGCGAACTGGTCAAGGCCTTCGTGCGGGGATCGGACTCTGCCCGACAGCAGCGTGAGCTCTAGTTAGTGGTCTTCAAAGGATTCCTCGTCCTTCGTCAAAGGTTGCAGCTGCACACATTGTCGACTGTCTACTGACTCAGGTGAATAAAAGGAAATAAATTTGCGACCGTCGTGTTGACTGTCAACCCAGAAGAGTGTTCAGTGACGTCCGCACCGAAAGAAGAGGCGCTGAAGAATAATGGGGGTATGCAGTGAAGAGACCAAGGAAACGCCTGGGTGGATCCTGTCTTCTACGTTAATTAAGGCAATGAACTAATGAGTAGATACAAATATTTGGTTGCCTTAGTTACAGACTCGTTGCTGCTACGTTGCCTTTGGCAGCGTAGCGACAGACTATACATACACAGCTGCAAAGTTTCACAGAGTAGTTGAGGGCACGAACTCGAAGCTCTTGCGCAGGTTCACATGGTTCATAGTGAAGGGTGCTGCTGGCGGGTACATGAACATGAACGAGTCATCCGTCGGTGGTAGCAGACAGTCAATCCAGTCGAGTGGCTCAGTCTGCTCGCCACTCGTCAGGTCGTAGCTTCTCGTAGTTGTGTACGGTTCCGACGGCGGTGCCGCCATGTTGAAGCTGTAGTAGCGTCGGCACTGCGGCGGATGGCGGACATCGTGCTGCTTGAACAGGAGGTCGCTGTCCATCGTCACCGGGAAGGGTAGACGACATCGATTGTCGCCGTTCAGCAGCAGGTTTTCGAAGCCCGTAGGGTGCGCGGCGGACAGAGGCTCCTTCTTCCAGTAGGGCATGGCAGATGCACGGGCGGCGGCCGTGGGTCGGTACTTGGGCAGCGCGTGCGGGCTGAGCGACTTCTTACGTGTGATTCTCCACGCGAGCTCAGGCTGGTCGCGGAGGAAGAAATCGTTGGAGAAGGTGCAGACGACGGCCTTGGACTTGGTCCACTTGCGGAAGTTGAAGTAGTTGAGCTGGCGCTGGAAGCTCGTGTACTTGCAGTGCTTGAAGTATTTAGGCAGCACACGCGCCGTCATCTCCTGCATGTCGTGGATCTCGAAGGCGCGGCCGTCGGGCGTCCAGCGCAGCACAGCGTCGCTCTCGTCCAGCAGCATACGGCGTAGACTCTTAAGGAACGGCGCCACCTCGCGTGGTGCAGTGTTGTCGTCCTTGGACTGGCTGTAGGTATTGGGACTGTTGCTGTTGTTGCTCTGCATGGGAGATCGGAGATACAGAAGACTGGGGCTGTCAGTTGAAGCGGCTTGCTCTGGGCGATGCAAATTCAAACCTGAATCTGCCGCCCGCCTCCGTTCGGTGGGCTTCGGGATGGTCACCCGCTCGCTCTGCCGCTGGCTACACCGCGTTCAATGCTGACACACGCTGCGCCACTCTGGCGTGTTCTCGCGGCGACGATCCCATCCTGCTGACTCGCCCGCGCAGGTCGTCACTGACTGGATGGGGTTGCACACGAACCTCCATACACTGGCGGCGATGGCGGCCCCAGTGACAGAGACCGCTTCAACTTGCACTCAACGCTGGACAGAAGAGCCCGTGGCCTTGACGTTTTGGTCCCACACGACATCACTCTTTCTCTGATTTCGTCTGAGCCCTGCACGATGGTCCCTCGCCCCGCGGCAGCCACTAGCGCTCGCCAAGCAAGCCAGCGGAGAATCCATCGCCGAGCGCGTTGGTCGCCTCGACGCTGTGCGTTCGGATATGACCGTCGATAGTGTCCAGGTGCTACTATCCTCCTCAGCCCGCCACTAGGTCCTTCGCGCGACGGTCGCCGCATCCCCGTAGCCAGCCGCCGCTGACTCTGGTACTACCAGTGGTAGGTACGTAGCTGCGACCATCGTCTTGGGGCCGACAAGGCCGATGAAGCAGTCATCGACTTCTTCGCCCGCTTCAGCTAGTCGTCGCGTTGAATCGCCGCCTGATGTTGAGAAGGACATTGGATACGCCAGTTCAAATTGTTGTGTATCCTGTTCGACGATGGTGAATATATGCCCGTCGTGCACTGAAACACTGCGTTTCCTACGCCGCTAAGGCTTGCCCTGCTTGCATTCTTGCATACTGGCGTCTTGCAGCCATCACCATGGAGAGTGATGATGCTCACAGTGCGGACAGCAATCGACGATCTCGGTGGTGCTACAGTACTCCGAACGGATGGCTCGAACCTGGAGGCTTACTGAATAAGATCCACGACCTTGGTAGAGCCGGTAGAGCGATCGTGCGATCACCGGAGGCACTCCAACACTCCGTCGGCGCGAAGGATTTTCATCTTCTACACGTATCGCTGACAGACATCCGTACCTTTCCTGTTGCACCAGGTTGCCTTCAACGTAAAACATGGACACTACTCGTCACTGACGAATCATAAACTGGATATTGTACATATTGACTAATTCCTATGAGTCCCTATATCCTACCTACCTATGCGGCGGTGGACGACGCACTGCTGGCCGGCGCCGGCGTCTTCACCACGTACACTTGACGGACCTGCTTGGGCTTCGTCTTGGCGACTGAACCCCGCGTTGACACCTTCTGGGCGGCGCGTTTGGTCGGTTCCTGCTTTTGGTAATTCCCGGCACTCGACGACGACGGCTTCCGATCGCTTGACTTGCGTGTCGAGCTGCCTTGAATTTTCTTCTCTCTGCCTGGATTCTGTTCGCGCTTCTCCTCCATCGCCGGGACAACCTTCACGTATTGTAGCCGCTTCTTCGAGACTGTCGACTCAGTCGGGGCTTCTCCAGCGACCTGCTCGGTGGGCTTGGCTGGACTTGCGGGCTGCTTCGCCTCAGCTGAATCAGCAGTCTTCACTGGCATGTGCTTGCTCTTTGCCTGTTTGGGCTGCTTCGTCTTCGACTTCGGCTTCCTCTGCTCTGCATTCCTACGCGAGTTCGCAGCTTTCCCACGAGGATTGGACGTAAGTTGCACGTCAACCGCCTTGGACGACATGCTGATGGTTTCTTGAACCTGCTCCCCCTTGCTCTGCTGCTCTCCTATGGTGCTTTTTAATTCATTGGATGCCAAACGCTGTCGAAGTTGCTTCTTCTCGTTCAACACAGCTCGTCGAGACTTGACCGTCTCGAAACCTCTGTCCTCGGAGCTCACCTCGATGCCTTTTTGCTCATCTGTAAGCACCACGACGCCCCCAGTGGACCCCTCTGAAATCTGCTTCAGCATCTCAATAGTCTGCGGAGTTACCTGTGACGACTGTAGATCCGTCACCTTTCTGTTGGTGCGACGCCGAGCAGGTTTATTTGTACTGCTTCCTGCACGGTCGTTCCTCGTCTTACCATTGTTGGGCCTCGAACTATCACGTACATTCGCTGCGGGATTCCGCGAATCTCTACGCTTCTCACGATATCCACTCTCCCGATGGGTAGGATCCTTCGTAGTGGTCGTCCACTTGGGTGCACGCTTTGTATTGCTTTCCTTCGTAGATAGTTTGTCCGCTGTTGGCTCTGGAAGCACCTCACCTGACGAGACCGAAGATGAATCCTTACTGGCTTTTGCTGCGTCCTCGACAACTACCTCCTGCACGGAGTTGACAGCGATGACACTGGTAGTTGATGCTGCGTTAAAATCAGTCCCCAATTTTTCATTGCTTCTCCAGCTAGCGGAATTCGATCGCGGTATTCCAGCTGTATCCGTTCCATCTCGATCTTTAACTCCATTTCGACTACCTGCCTGTCGCTTTCCTGAAGCAGCTTTATCTTTGGCGTTCATCATACCGCCAGTCTTGGGATCAAACAACATCTTTGGGCGTTTTAGCAGTTGAATCTGGGGACTGGGGCTGCTGTTGGAAGACGAATTAGACGATAACTCTGTACTGCTGCTCTCGACCGCCTCAGCCACGGGTGTAGATGGCTTCTCGTTCTTTGGCGGGGCAGTTGCTGCTCGACCCCAAGCACGAGTAGCTCCCTCTTCTGGCGTTGACAGGTTGCGCCAATTTATTGCTCTCGCGGGTGTCACATCCGCTGTCTTTGGGGCTGGCGAACGATCTGGTTGTGGGGAGCGAAAGCAAGAATCCCTCGGCCCAGTCAGACGGGAAGGTGAGGATGAACATCCATCTCGACGTGCCAGTCGACCACTTTCCCAGTCCATGCGGTGCGGGCCCTGGCTTAAGACACGATCTCGGTCGCCAGCCACCAACAAGTCAAAGCGTGCATCGCTGCGACTAAAGTGGGTGTGGCTGTCGTTGGGGACGGGTGAGATAGTGTCGTTGCTCGACTCGTACGGTGGCCGATCTCGCCCATAGTCATCGTTGTGCCGGTAGTGGTGGCCACGCGACCAACGATCGTCTTCGTCGCGGTCGTAGCGGCTCCTCGACCAGCGATCCTCTCCATGGTGTGGCCAGCGATGACCTTCATAGCGATCATGAGACCACCGGTTGTCCTGAATGGGACGATGCATCTCCTGCTGCTCATTAAAATGCGCCCATCGACCGGTGGCTCTTCCGTGATGTTGCTCCGGCTGCTGCGAATCGATCGAAGGAGACCTGTCGGTAGCACGAGTGTATCCTTCTCCTGGACCGTGGTGTATCTGCGTCTCCTCTGCTGCTTCCTTCAAGTCCGGGAACTCTTTCTCCTTCTGCCTTTGGCGACGGATGTTGCTCTGAACGATGTCTTGCTCTACAGCATCATCTCCCCAGCGCCCAGAGCTCTTGATCGCAAACTTGGGACGAGCGGGGGCGTTTCTAGTGTGCAGATGTTCAGCCACACTCTCGGGCGTCCAAACTTTATCGGGGGCCTTTGGTAGGGCCACTACGTCGGCAGGAGCCGGCCCAATCTCTGGAGTCTCAATGTTCTGCTGTTTCTCGACGCTCTCAGCCCAGTTGGAGCTCGTAGGTACCAGACTCACGTGCACGTCGACTACCTGACTCTCTCGCTTCATACTTGGAGTGTTAAGTGGCGCAGGGGGCGCCACAGCCGCGCGCCCGAGCACGAGCATGCGGCTGTTAGGGCGCTGCAGCGATCCGGTGGCATTGTCCGGCAGAGGCTTGGTCCGCAGCGGCGCCTTGAAGACGGCGCTGAGGTTGCGACTGGAGAACTTGGCCTTGGGTTTGATGTTGGTCGTCGGGTTCATAGAGAAGTGGGGACGTTCAGGGAGTGCGGGGCAACAGCGGGTGACGCTTGAGCCTCGCGTGTTTCTTTCGGTTATGAAGAGTTCAACATGTCGGTGTCGGTGAAGAAACGCGATTGTATAAATGATGGAAGGTTTTCGAAGAAATGCCACAGAAAACAAAATTTGATTTCAGAGGTCTGTGTAAGTGTACCCATGCATGCGATGTTCGGCGGCAGGCAGGCAAAACTCCTTGTGTGCGTTGCGTGTCAAAAATGGAAATGTATTTGTGGCGTGATACCCGCTGAGGCAGTCGGTGCTGGCGATCATGATGGCTTCAGTGGCAGTAATGGAGACATATTCTGGAGACGCGTTGCATATTGATCTTGTCAAGCAAGGCCAATCCGTATAACACCCTTGCTCCAATTTGCGCTGACCTTCGAGGAAGCATGTTTCAAGGGACCTCTCTCGAGGCAGAGCAAGACAGCAGCAGCACGAAAGACACGCTCTCATGAGGCGCTAGCAGATGAGCTGTACCTGGTTATACGTCGATGCGTTCGTCTTGAGCAGCCGTCGAGCCTCCTCGTCTCCCTCGGCGTCGTCCAGCTCGTTCAGCGCCTCGTCGGGAACGTCCATACTGAAGCGTTTCCGCCATTGTGACCCGTAGATCCGCTGCAAGTCACCCACAGGCAGCAAACCATGCGGCACCTGGAAGCACAGCGGCGTCCAGCTGTGCTCAAAGTGGAAAAACACTAGAGTCGAAATGATCAGTCCCAGCACAACGTCCACCGTGTAGTGTTTGCGGCCAGCAATGCACAGCACCGCCAAGATCACAAGGTACGCCATGCCACACGCCCAGCGGATCTTTGAGGCGGTCCGGCCAGCAAAATTACGGTCCAGCGTGCGTAGATACAGCAGTACGGCCGAGTTTGTATACGCCATGTGTCCCGAAAAAATGAGGTCACCGCACGAGTTGTAGTTGCCGTAAATGGGTCCGACGCGCGTGACAATATCGACCCACGTGGTTGGAGGAAAGTAGTCGGGGCTGCCTGCACGGCAGTGTGGCGCAGGACCGGGAAGCGACGTCACTGACACCGTAAGCATGCGCAGGAAATAGCAGATCGTGGCGATGCGGAAGAAGGACGACACGATGCGGCAACGGTTGGGGCGAGTCATGAAGACCGTTTGCAGCAGGAACATGACAGGCACGCCGGCGGTCAGGATGTCGCTCACTGGCCGCCACTTAGAGTGAAGACCCTGCTCTGGAATCAGCATGAAGCCCAGATCCTTGAGCGGCATCGTGGCAGGCACGTGCAGGTAGAAGGCGATGTTGACAGAGAACACCATGACGAGCGACATGGCTACGAAGATCTCGGCGTGGTCCATCATGCCGCGCAGATGGACATCCACGCGGGAGCGCACGAGACGTCGCACGTAGAAGAAAGTGCCGGCGAAGAGCAGCCAAATGCCTCCCCAGGTAGCGCGCGAGCGATTCTGGTCGGGCTCGATGATAAACTTGAAAAAAGTGACCCACACCATGACGCCGAGGCCTACGTCGGCCACCATGTAGAGCGCGAACAGCACGAAGCTCACCACCTCACGGTAGTCTACCGAGTCGCACCAGTGTCTGGGGCTGCGGCCTCCTCCGACAGTCACCGGGGAGCTGTTGATATCAGGCCACGATACCGCGTTCTTCTCGTCCAGCGGGCCCCAGGAGCCTACGGGTCCCGACATTTTCCGCTTGGTGCGGAACAGATTCGACTGCGCGAAGGGCAGGTACGACGTCATCCCCGTCTTTCTGTCTCTCTGCAGCTACTGCTGCTGTTGGCTGTCTAGACGGGTAGGCAGACGTTGGGCACAGCAAAGCACGGCTGCAGCGGCTTCGCTTCGAACACTTGCGCGGAGGAGAGCCGAGAATGCACCACTGACCCGGCAGTTAATGCTGGAAATGGCTGCTTGCAGGAATAGAACTTGGGTACCGCCCCGACCATTGGTCGAAAACCGATACGTGTTTACGGCACTGGTCGGCCAATCGTGGCGCACAGCGGATCAGAATGGCTACACACATCGGCTGGATTGTCAAAAAGCTACATGTAGGCCGACTGCAAAACACTCGGCGACACACGTACACACATTGCAACTGGTTGTCTAACGCTGTGGGGATTTCTTGCTTTTTCAGTGTTGATCACGATGACTTGACTTCAACGATGCCGCTTTTCCCGACAACTAGGGACATGATGGCTACATGGCTTCTTGCTAGATATCGTGTCCAACGTGCTCTGCTCTAGTAAGTGTTTGTACTGTAGTCTACAATGTATGCAGTGCTAATCAAGCTATACAGCAGACCTTGTTCGCTGCCTTGTGAATGCCCAGGAGAATCAAGGGTCGTTTCACTTTTGCTGACGAATTTCTGAGTTCCGTGCACTGAAATGTGCACCACATCAAATATCCGGATACACTCATCCGGATAACAAGTGTGAGGCTATCAATTTTTGATCCACAAGGACAAACTCCACCGAGCTCTGTCAGTACTTTATCGTCATGGCTCTGTCAGTGCGCGCCAAGAACTTAATCCTCGGCGGCAGCCTCGCCACCTTCGCGTCCTCTATTTTCGCCTACACTTTCTACCAGATGAGCCGGGTACGCTAGCGTTAGTCAAGTTGTATACCATCTCCACCATCGTACCTATTGGTTTGACTTTTGTATGGGAACTTCTGCTGCGCTGCAGGACGACTTCAAGGACTTGGACACTGTGAAGGTGAATGTGCACTCAAGCGGCATGAAGCCTTCAACCGCTGGCAAGAACGACGAGTAAGAAGGTCATTGTGCCGCGACGCATTCACGCTAAATACCAGAAAACAGACATTTCTCTCGTGCGTCGGCATCTGAAGAAACAGTAATTTGTTCACTTCACTGTATTAACACCAACACGAGATTGGGGGAGCGTATATGTATGAGCGACTTAGAGCCGCGAGATTTTATTTAAACAGCGCTGACTTGAGCTGCCCACTTAGACTGTTGTGTCCTATAGGTCTTCGATCTCGTTAGCTCTCCAATCCACCCCCTTCGATTGCGTTGCCGACTAAACCAGCGAGCACCTGCGGAGTGAAACGTCATTGATTTACCGGAATACAGCAGTTCGCTGCGCAAGAACCTGGTCAGCAGCGATGAGAAACACAATAAAAACGAGTCGTCAGCTGACTCTGCCTCGTTAAACAGCCTTTCACCACTAGCAAACGGGCGCACCTTGGCCATGAGGCGCTGGGACTTGGTGGACGTCTTGTTCTTCAGTTTGCGTAAGTTTTCTGCCGTCCGGTCGGCTTGTTCCAGATCGCGACGCGCCTCCTCCAGCACTTTTACCTTGGACTTGCCAGACACTTTCTTGCTCTTCTGGCGCAGTTTTCTCTGAGCAGTCTTAGACAGTGTGGAGCTGGAGTTGGGTGCCTTTCCCTTTGCCTTGGTGGACTTGCTGGTGTCCACCTTAGCTGAGGCACAGTTCTGCAGGAAGAGCTTGGTCACGCGCGCTGCCATCGTCTTTGAGTGTTTAGCCTACCAGTCGTCGGAATGCTGTATAATAGTTTAGACCTTCGATAACGAATATTCATACATGACCAGCGAAATGTGAATGGGATGCATGAGCTCATCAACCACGGCAGCCTTCAATCAAGGACCTTGACACACCTCGGTGAAAACACTATGGACCTGCATCACAGTTTGTAGCACGTGTATGCAAGTTGCAAAGGCAACACTTCACTGTACTTCGCTTATGAGGGAAGACAACAGACACACAACGACAGAGTACACTTGGTGACACACAAAGCAAGCCTGCCGTGGAACACCAATTGGATTAGAATTTCGCCTTTATTCTGCGTCGTCTTAGAAACAAGTACTCGCTCGGGCGCGAAGCCCAGGCGGCTTTCCTTCCTTCGCAGACAACAAAAACCATGCCCCGCTGTGTCACCGAGATGTCAAGCTAGTGAACGCGCTTACAGGCGGCCACCAGAGCCAGCCATCGACTCCACCAGCTGGTCCTCCTCACGAGCGACCTTAGCGCCCTTCTCCTCAGCACCGCCCTCGTGGAGTTCCATCAGACGCACCAGGTCGAACTTGGGCTTCTTAAGAATCTTGCACTTGCGGATGTACACGTTCTGGAGCGGGTAGATGCCCTGGGTGGCCTTCTCGATCTCCTTGCCAATGATCTCCGGCACGAACTTCAGGAACAGGTCCTTGATGTCGCACTTGGAGGCCTCCTCCGTCATGATCGACGTCATCTTCTTGCGGATGGCGCGGATCTGAGCCGTCTTGGCGTACGTGGTCTTCTTGATCTGGTTCGGGCGCTTCTTGGTGAAGGCAATGCAGAACAGACGCACCAGGTAGCCGTCCGTAGTCTTGACGTCCACGAAGGCCTCAATCAGAGTCTGCCACTTGCGGATCAGCGAACACAGCTTGTCGCGGGTGAAGTCCATGCCGTGGAAGCCAGTAATGATCTGGTTGCCCTGGATCTCCTCAGCGCAGAGGCGGATCTTGCGGAAAGCCTGGTCCTCGTCCTTGTTCAGGTCAGCGAGGCACACCTCGAACACACGGCCACGAAGACCCTCCGAAGCGATCTTGGTACCGGCGGTACGGTTCACCAGGGTCTTGCCGCAGGTGCGCTCCGAGAAGATGGCAGGGGCCTTGACATCGTACCAGTCCTTGCGCGAGAACGGGTCAACGCTGTATGGAAGAAATACCAAAAGAAATTATCAGGATCCTCTACGTATTTATCGAGCTAATGCAGATTTCTACTGAGACGAAAAGAAGACGAAATCGTAACGTACACTTTCTTCTTGCCGCCCTTCTTGCCCTTAGTCAGACGTTTGTTCTTTCCTGTCATCAGCCAGCCATGCGAGAAGTTAGAAATCCATTCGTCCTGTTTTCTAGTCGCGCCAAATGAGACCAATATCGATCGCCTCTATCACATCCTCCGCCCCTTCTTGCTGGACTGTTTTCCTGCTGCAATTCGTCGCAGCTGTGTTTTGTCCTGTGTGAGAAGGCGCTTTTCAACGCTGTTCTTCTTTTTCCTGCTGGCTGCTGCTACTGGCTTTGCCTGCTCTGTTCAGTGTCGCTGCTGGGCAATGGGGGGGGAGGCGGAGAAAGCGACGTGGCTATCGAATGCAGCTCATTGGACTTGCTGCGCTCTGGTTGCTATCAAAAAGGGCTCGCAAGCACACTCACCGACAGCCATGGTTGTCTTTAGTTTTTTCTTAAAGGCGAAATGGAGCTGCCCAGGTTGGTAGGAGACAATTCAAGGCGAATGGCTGGTGCTGGGCTGGCCGGCCATGGAAGTCGCGGTTCGTTGGACCGGTTCGGTTAACTTACCCCTAACTGGGACGTAATTAAAAGGTGTGACCAAATAACGTCTCAAAAATAGTACTGACCAAAAAATAGTACAGCCAACATTGGTCAAACGGAAAGTCCGCCCAAAAGTTATGGTCGTTGTATGGGATTTAATCTCAGGAGCATAGAGAAACCAAGTTGCGGGAATAGTCCATTTGAAAAGGACTCAATCGCGATGACTCAAAACAGACTCCGCACTCGCATCTCGTGAGCTGTTTGTTGCAGCATGGCGGCGCTCGACGAGGCGCTCACGACAGCGCACGCCCAGCTGCTGCAGACTCGCGAAGAGCTGGCGCAGTCATCAACGTCTAGTTTCCAGGACGCATTCCTGGAGGCGCTGCGGGAGCCGTACGAGGCAGCGGCACTCTCTCACAGCAATAACAGTAGACCCAGAAAATCGATCAAATGGCGGCGCTCAGATCTACTCAATTTCCTGAGCCTCTACTTCCCGCAATACGTGCAGCAACCTGCTGCCTTCTCAGCCTTATGTGCATCACTCTCCAGGAAAGCCTCAAAAGCCGCTGAGAAAGACCGCAATGGACCCGCAGAGAACGACGAGGAGTTCGTGACCGTCACTTTCGACAACTTGAAGCGCGTCTTGGTGAGGCAATACGGCAGTACGAGACTCGTGGCTAAAGACCCGTTCCCACTTGAGCCTCGCGTTGAACCCAAGCCGGAACGTCGTCGCAGTATCGCTCCGTTCATGCCAGGGTCAACTAGTGCAAGTGAAAATACATCCGATGACACCACATCGATGCCCGTTCTGCGGGAGTTCCAGGCTGAAGTGATGAAGAAGTCCAAGAGCTGGTTGGGACGCTGGCGAGCACGTCATTTGCTGCTGCGTTGGGGGGTTCTCGAAATGCACAAACGCATCTCCAGAACTCCCCAACGCAGCTTAACTGCCAGATCATTCCGCCATCACTCGTCTGGTGCCAGTTCCAGCGCTGCAACAAGCAATACGAGCAGCCGTGGAGGTGACAGCTCCAGTTCTGCCTCCTCTTCGGCGCTTACAACTGCTGGAGCAGGAGCAGCCAATGTCAAGACGTACGATCTTCAGGACCTCGTGTCACTTAAACTGGAGCATGTGAGTGATGGAGAGTCTGCCTCAGCTCGTAAAGCAGCACTGACACTGAAGTTCCAGACAACACTCGCACCGTCATCCGCCAGCCATAGCAACTCTGGGACAACGACTAACCAAGAATTCAAGACGCTAATACTAGGAGGCGGTGAGGCGTCCGACACGCTCGTTTTGATTCGAGATCATATCGCCACTTATGCGCTGTATCTGGAGCTTTCACGAAGGGATCGTCTGCCATCTATGACCAAAGTACGTCGACATGTTGCAGCCGGGGCCATGGTGAACGTTCGCGTCCGCATTCCTCGCATCTCGCAACTCAAGGACTCGAAGGATGGAACGCGACGACGAAGCCAAGTAAAGCAACCGCCGCGAGGGATGGTGACTGCCTTGCAGCTCGCGTTTCTGCAAGATCCACGCGTGCCCAGCTTTGAGAGCACCATTGCTTTGCTGCTACACGCTGGCGCAGACCCACGGAGTCTCCTGTACTGGGACTATGCGACGCAAGTGGTTTTTACACCCCCGTCCAGTGATAAAAAGGAGAAGAGCGAGGAACACCATCAACGGCGACGATTACGGAAACGACTTCTTCTTCTCGACAAGGTGGAGAGTGATGGTGATGAACGTGCCACTTTCCAGTGCTGTGAAGTACAGGCAGATGACGCAGCTCGGTGGAATCTGCTCATGTATTTTTGTTGGCTTGGGGACGTCGAAAGCGTCAAGCAGCTGCTTATTGTGACCGGGGCGGGGAGCTCTTCGGGAAGCCAAGGCAGGACATCTAGTCGACAGCTGGTGACTTGTCTGGATCATGTTAACGCGGTAGGTGACACGGCGCTTCACGTTGCTATAAAATCGGGTAAAGAGTCGGTAGCGCTTCTGCTCGTGGAGGCAGCGCTTTCAATGAATGCACAGGCGGTGCACCAATGTGACGCCCGCGGCGAACCAGTTGTACATTTGGCACTCGTTGCGCGTCAATGGCATGTTGTAGACGCGTTGGTGGCAGGTGGGGCAGTTGATCCGCGATCTTATGATGCTGTGGGGAATACTGCGCTCCATCTTGCCATTCAACTTCGTGCACCTGTAGCGCTTATCGCGCGGCTTATCCAAGTGTATCGCCATTCTTCGCCGACTGGAGGTCTCGATGGACGAGCTGGTCATCGGGGAAGCAATGATACTCCTCTGTCGTTGGCACTCAAGAGTGGGCAGCAAGAAGTTGTGGCGTTGCTGCTTGCTTCTGGTGCTTCTCCGTCAGGTTCAGATTGTCAATGGAGTCAAGCATTTGTTGCAAAGCTGGACACTCGAAATGAAGAGGATGCTAACGAGAAAGTGGTGGTTGGTGACGATGATAGCGCCCTACACGTGGCTATTAAAGCAGGAATGGAGTTGGCAGCAGCGGCTTTAATTGCTCATAAAGCCGATATTTATCTTGTAGATTCTCGCGGCGCATCGTCACTGGTACTTGCTATCCGCTATGGGCTATACGCATTAGCTGCTGCTCTGGTAGATCAGCACCAGAAGAAGCCAAATCAATCCGCTAGCAAGCACTGGTGGATGGATAAAGAAACAGGCAGACCCGTGACCATGCTAGCTTTTCAAGCTGGGCAACTCGAACTCGCAGCACTCTTGCTTGATTGCATTGTTCACGACAATAGCAGCCAGCGTCAAATGTATCCTGCCCGGGTTCTTCCTCTGTTGATCCGGATAAGTTCGTGGCTAGGAGCTCGTGTTGGTGCTAATAGCAGTGTGGTATCAAACACGTCGAGCTTTTCAAGACGTAAATCGGGGAGCAGTGTGGACGATGGAGACAGAAAATCAGCAGGCCGAAAGAAATCTCGATCATCCAACTGGACTCGGAAGCAGCTGAGAAGTGAATCATCTCGTCACAGTGGGGACAGTTCAATAGCAAGTGCGTTTACTGAAGAGGACAGAGATGTCTGCAATTTTCTTCTTGGAGGAATCCGGTCGCTTATGGTGAGATTCCTTCATCTCAGTGGGAATTCATCGGTGGCCGAAGTTATTGGAGGCGACACGGTGCCCACTTCTGTGTCCCTATCTACACTACCATTGGAGATTCATCTACCGACAACTTCAACTCCCACCAAGTCGTCGCCGCCTAAAGTTGTCAAAGATGACGAAGTGACTGCAGTATCGCCACTGCATGTGGCAGCGTCCGGTGGCCGTTCAACGTCAAATTTACTTCAATTACTGTTGGCGTTTCTTTTGAGTGCGGATGCAAGTGAAGCAGCACAGATGCTTGTACGTCCAATGGGTCCTCGTGCTGAGACTCCACTCCATGCTGCTCTAGCAGCGGGAGCGGCTGGAAACGCCTTGCTGTTGCTCTATTCGTCGCGTGAGCTTCAAGTCCGCAGTCCTGCTGTGGGCCCAGTGTGTGCTCAAATACTGGAGACGACCAACTCCTTAGGCGACTCGGCACTTCATTTGGCCTGTTCATGGCCTCACAGTGCTTCCATGGGTCTCGTATTGGAGTTGCTTCTTCAAGAGCATGTGGATACTGGAAACTGGAACAACGCTGGCTTGGCTCCTCTTCACGTGGCTCTGCGTGAGGAGTGTGATGACTCGTTTATTGAATTGTTCACACGATACCGACAGGATTTAAATCTCTGGACTGAAGGAAACACTTACGAAGATGAAGACGGCGACTTTACCAACACTGGCGGTAGACCAAGTGCTATAACCGTGATATCTGCGTGTCCACAGAATCCTCTTATGTTGGCTGTGGAGTCGGAGAATGCTTCTGCCTTTCGCGCTTTGGTGCGAGGTGGGGCGCGTACTAGAGCTCTCATGCCACGTGCTCGTATTGGACTTCTACAGCTTGCTGTGCACTTCAAAGTCCGCGATCCCGAACTGCTTGCGTGTCTACTTGACGACCCAGAGCTGGAGCATTCAGCCCAATCGGATGTAGCTGATCAGTGGGGGGTTAGTCCTCGAGAAGCACGGTCAAGATTGATGGAAGTGTGGAGAAAAGAGCGCAGTGGAGGTGACATACAGGAGGCATTTGGAGGCCGTCGACCAACAAATACAGACAAGAACACAGAAGAAGATCCGTTCGGGAGTCGGAATCGACCTCCTCCGCTTCACCCGCTATCAGCTAGTGGCGAACAGTTGGCATACAGCTCCATGTCCTCGGACTATGCATCATCCATTGATTCCTCGACGCAGTCAGTAGAGACCAGAGCTCCCCCACCGCTTCGCATCAGTGTTCCACGTCCTCCTGCAGAGTCAGTGCCATTGGAGACAGCTCAGTATCTTCGAGCTCTTCCACGACCCCCAACGTTGTCGCCAACCACTCTGGAATATCTTCGAGAAGAAGAGCAGGCGACCCTGACTCTAGTTGCTCAGGAGGCGCGTAATGAGGCACAGGACTGGCTAGCCAAGCGTATCGGCCAAAAAAAATTGCTGTCGGATGCTCATGCTCAGCTACACAACGCTAAGAAGCACAGACGTACAGCAAGTGGCAGCAGTGTGAGTAGTACCAGAGACGATCTAGAAGCATCTTATGAGTCTACGCAGAGTGATCAACAATTGCTGGAGGAGTTGAAGGCTGCTGCGGCTAAGAAATTCATTGAGAAACATGTCGCTGAAGCCGTGGCCGAGGCGCGATTGGCCATTGAACGAGAGAAACAAACGATTTTCCAGGAGACTGGACTATACCCTGGAATGACTTCAGTCTCCAAGAAGAGTAAGAAGAAGGAGGACGGGAGACATCGATCGCTATTGGTTCGAGCTGCAAGTTCGACTACCGGGTCCATGTTGCTACCTGCTTCGTCGGCATCAGTGACGTCGGTCTCCAGCGAGGAAGGAAGCTCAACTCAACTGAGCGACGACAGCTACGGGAGCGCCAGTTTCTGGTGGTCTGAGCGTGGCACCACATTCTTGAGCGACGATAGTAATCTCAGTTGGCTGTCGACTAGCAACCCGCGAGGAGGAACCGTGTTGAGTGATCCTGCCTCTGGGAGGGGAATGATGCTTGATGGGAGTTTTGATCGCCGTCTGTCGTTTGCTTCTCGAAGCTTTCTGGACAATGAAATGTCAAGAGAGGAAGGCTTGAACTATAGCGTCATAGATCCTGTGCAGTCCCGGGACCAGGAACTGGACCAACCATCCTTCACACACGTGATTTCAGAGCGAAATGCAACGACGTGAGAGTGTCAATATACTGCAGTTTTGAGCGCAACTATCGAAAGGTACACGTCGGACAATTCATCTATCGACACTCGTCTCGAGTTTTATCATACCTTTGTACTGATGCGAGTTGTTGTTGGTTTTAGGACTCCCTCGCAGCTTGTTGGGCCTGAATGATCTGCTGGATAAATTCGTCAGAGAGAACGATTTTGTCTTGCGCGCTGTTTTGAAGTTGTTGAAGATACTGCACTGCGTCGGCTGAGCTAGCGGTTGCTCCGTAGTTCTCAAAACGCTCATGTTCCTCCAACTCCGCGCGAACATGGATAAGTAGACGGTTAAGGTACCGTCGGTGAGCGACAGAGGCTCGTTGCAGCACAAAACTCAACTTGGACGGCTCGGGAGTATCAGTGGGGGCTGGCAGGTTCAACGAAGAAGCAGGTGCCGGGGCAGGAGGAGGGGTACGTGGGGTACTTGGGAACGGTGGAGCCAACCCCTCCGGTGTTGGAGGGGCTTCAATACCCCCTGGTTCGTCTCCAAGCTCTGCACTGCCCTTTTGGGCGAAACTATCGCCGTCCTGAATCTGCTGTTGCTGCTGGAGCTGATGCTCATGCAGTTTGGAGCCTGACATTGTGAGGAAAACCTGATGAGGACGTGCAAAGACACCGTGTTTGGGCTTACAGCGGAAGTAATACCGTCCTTTGACGCTGCCATCATTCTTCCCGTAAGCTTCGTCCAGTTCAATGCCCACCCAAATCCCTTTCACGCCGATAATTTCACCCAAAAATCTCACAAACCCGAACAGTTCTTTATCCGGGATGCACACACGATCACCCACGTCCAGGTTGAAGCCCGCCAACGCCTGCACTTGCTGCACTGGAGTTGCGTCTCCATCCACACTGGCATTGGACGCTGAACCCGCGCCTTTCGTGGACTCCGCCACGTCCGAGGACACGAGCGCCTCGAGTCGCTTCTGAATTTTATAGTCGACCATGCTCATGACGACGAGCGCTCGCTTGGGGAAGAGTGTGTGGAAGGCCAAGAAAAGCTCATGCGCCTGTGCTCGACATGAGGAACTGGCGTCGTATAGCGCGTGTTGCAGACCTTTCTCGAGCTGCTGCACGTCACTCTTGTCCATCACGGGGCTCCACGAGACGAGTGCACGTCGAAGACAGGAGATGCAGCATAGTCGGATGAGTTTGTTTTTGCTGTCTAGTAAAATGTCCACAAAGAGTCGCAACGTAGCGCCTTTGATCACCGTCTGCGTTACTACAGCCTCCAGGCACTCCCCGCAGTACGTGCCACAGACTTTGTTGCCACTACCACGAACCTCCACGAGTGTGGGCAACACTTCGCGCAGAAACGGAGCCATAGCGTCGCGCGTGACGCGTGAGATGGTCGTGAGCAGCGCACAGACTTCCTTGACGATCTGAGAGCGTAGATCTTGTACCATTCCTTTGAGCGGCCGCAGCGTCTTCCACACGTCTGTACTGAGACTGGCAGCCACAGTGCCGGCCGGTGGATTTTTCTCCAGCTGCTCAAAGGCGCGCTGCATCTCGCCCAGCGCCGCCATGCGCTCTTGCCAGTTCTCAGTGTTGCGAGCCACGCGATCCATCTCGCGGGCCAGCAGCGTCACCAGCGTCTCCTGTCACAAGAGCGTTAGAGAGAGGGGGCAATGAGATAAAACGCACATAGAGAGAGAGCAGTGGGGAGCGTGCACACCTTGCTCATGGCCACCGATTGACAGGGAGCAGAACGCCAAGACACTTGGCTTCAAGCCACGAACGTCTTGTATCCAACTGAGTTTTACTCACTCGAAATTTTACGCTAAGTTTCAAGAAATGTTAGCGTTAGCATAAATTTTGTACATTAAAAATTCAAGATGCTCTTATTCACCTTCTTTGCTCCTAATCGTGCTTAAGAGCATTTTTAAGGAACAGCATAAAAAATAGTACGAGCATGCGTTGAGTTTCTGATAATGCTGCAGTTAATTCTGCCAATATCTTTATTTACCAAGCTCCGGTAATGACATGTGCAGCTCTAGTAAGTAGGAGTAGCTAAATATGTGCGTCTCAATTGATACACGTACTTAGATATCATCAGGCGTTTCTGTGCCCACTCTGTAGGCAGATTGAGTTTACATGACACCGGTTGTAGGAATCGGACTCGGCGGTGCGATCTTGGACGTTTTGGAGCTGAGGATTTAGACATATATCTTAGGCTGCTGCCTGAAAATAATTGAGTTTTTGCTTCGATGATCAATACTCAAACAGGATTGAACAGTATGAGGCAGGCCGCGGCAGACATGGGATTCCTGCATCCCAAGCTTTGTCACTCACGGTATACTTGGCTCGAAGTGTTTTAACAAATCCTTTAAGCTCGCTGCTTGGCCCGCTTGCTGCATTGCCGCGGCGATCGCGATCTTACCGCAACGAGCGAAGGTGGTAGTGATTCGCCACGCCACTGGCGAACCTGGATCTTCAGGCTGCAGGCAGACAAGAGCGAGAAGATAAAGAAGTTGCTTGGGATCGGCTTGAATCAAGTGACTCGCTGCGTGCTCGCGCGTGGACGCGGTAGACCTCGCCTCTCTCGCTGAAAGCAGACAAAGATACCGCCCAAGCAATGCCTCGATGCACGTATTGGACGCGAAAGAGATTATTGAATCAAGCGACTTGCTCCGTATTGTCGTCGCGAGGTCAGTCTCGGCCTCTGTCAATTATTATGATACAGTACATTCATGGCTTTGGCACCTATACCCCCAAGGCAGACAGCTAGCACCACTGCAGTAAGTTTACATGTACATTCATCAATCTACTGAATGCCCGGGCCGGATTGGCTGCATTTATTGATACCGTAACGGATTCAAGTCAAACGTAGTCTTTTGCGGATTGTCTCTACTCCATCAAGTGAGGGATGCGCATCTGAGTTTGCTTCAGGCATCGTGTCGACGAGGAGCTCTAATATCGGCATGCTCCCAATTGACGGAACTCTCGTCATCTGCACCGCTTCCGACACGGTGGCAAGTGAGATCCCTACTCTAGTTACTCAAAGGACAAGGCTTCTGTTTCATGCCTCGGAGTCGGATGATCGTCCAATTATCGGAGGCGGCTGATGGCGAGCGACAGGGAGCGGATATTTCGCCTGACCCACCAGAGCGGGAGCTGTCGCCCTCGCGAGGGTTGCACATGTACCGCTCGGAGCTTGTGGAGCTCAGTATATATATATATATATTATCAGGCGTTCGTAGAAGCCGTTTGCAATAACTTGCATGATTTGAGACCTATCCCGCTTCTGAAGTTCACGAACTTCCAGCAGCTCGGATGGAAGCACATCAACTTCAGGCACGGATGAGGCAGTGGTTCTAGCCCGCGGAGGAGAAATGTCACGCGGACATTCTTCTTGGTAGCTCAAATGTGAGCCTCAGGACTCAAACTTCGTTTAACTAAAGGCACGCATCGTGACGGCCTTTGAATCCACCCAAAAGTTGAAAAAAACGACAGCAAGTGAAGGTCAAGCTACTGCTGTGATCGCAAAGCGCCTCGCTCTACTCTCTGCAGCTGGGCAGCCCTCTTCCCATGCGTAATACTGCGTATGGCTCGGCAGAGGTCAAACCGCTAAATAACCCCACACAACTCCATGGTGAGACTTGGTAGCACAGAACACACAAGCCATCCACTCGATTCCCTATTTTAGACTTTAACACACTGACTGCAAGCAAGAAATGCAGCGGGGTCGCCTTCGTATTTCGTTGCTTTCCTCATCTGTAGTATTACATATTCGAAATACTAGCGCCAAAGGTGGCAGCCATGTGGAGTACAGAAAATGTCGCTGTTAGCGTTGCCGTAAATAGTGGTGATGATTACTACTATTTGTAAGCAAACAATTTCGACAAACCATGCTTTACAAAGCGAAGCGCTCTTATATTTCGCAAGGTCCTACTTTTCGCTCATCAAAGTTTTGTTTGCGCGCTTTGCTAAATAAAAGACGTAGTATGCAGGGTCCACAGCACAGACGCCATCTCTTCTTCGTGTGGCGTCGATTGGGTCAGCGAGTTCCCCATACACTACAGACCTCAGCAGCCGCATGCCCAGCTGATCGTATTCAAAGCATTATAATGAACTATGATTGGCTGTTATTAGTGAAATAGTTACGACCAATCACAAAGCGTCTCTTTTTTCGCAGAGAAAAGACTTGGTTTCTGTATCGTTTGCCCTTCCCCTCTTCAGGAGCTCCAGCCATGGGCTAGCACACACTCTCACACTCAGCGACGAGTGACGCCGCCACCGCCTTTTGCCCCGCCTTCGGCCTGCGGATCCGCCTAGCAGTTAAGACACTCACATATACACAAATACAGGAGTACGTGCGCCGCTCGCTTGCCCTCCCGCCTGTTGCCGGATGATGCGAGACGTGAGCGCGCGTTTCAAGTACAGCGAGCGCGAGTTCCGGGCGCAGCAACAGCACAAAACCGCAAGTCTTAGCGGCAACAGCAGCGGCGACGACTCGGAGAACAAGCCGCCGTCTGCTGCTGCCAACGCCGCACAGAGCACCGAAGAAGACGTACCCGACGCCTGTCCGTCGCGCGAGCTCATCCACAGCCACATTCGAAGATACTATCGCGATGTAGACGCCGCCGCCAAGGCCGCGACCGATTGGGAGACTGTAAGCGCGCGCATCCGCAGAGACCTCGCTCCCTATACAGTGCTTAAACTGGGCGGCTTCTCGCTGGGTGACGCCTGCACTCGATTGCTAGGCGACGTGCTGGCCCATGGTGCCTCCAGGTTGCGCACACTGGATCTGGGGTTCAACCGATTGACAGACAAGGGTGCGACCCAATTGGCCGAAGCGCTGGAGACCAACACGTCGCTCGAGAGTTTGTATCTTTCAGGAAATGAAATTGGACCAGCAGGAACGCGAGCGCTGGCACAGGCACTGACCAAGAATACGCATCTACGCAGTTTGCACCTCAGCGGCAATAATATTGGCGAAGAAGGCGCCCGCTTTTTGGCAGATGGAATAGCAGGCAATACAGGACTCAGAGCGCTCTATTTGGGCACGAACGGTATCGGTGCCACCGGAATGCAGAGTTTAGCTACGACCTTAACACATAACAAGTCGCTGGAGGAGCTAACGCTGGGACAGAACAAAGTGGGAAGTGCAGGAGTGCGTCATTTAGCTGCCGCGTTCGCTACTGGTCACGTATCGTTGTCAACTCTAGAGCTCGGAAAGAATGGTGTGGATCAGGAAGGCGCTATTGCATTAGCACGCTCTTTGTGCGGTGCGAATCGTCTGCAGAACTTGTATATGGATCACAATCCACTGGGAGACGTGGGTGCCAGTGCCTTCGGAGCGCTACTCGCCCAGAATACAGAGCTACGTGTGCTGGACTTGAGCTACACGCACATGTCATTGCTGGGGCTGCGAGAGCTCAGCGTGGTGGGGCTGGCGCGTAGTCGTGCGTTGCTGTGTCTGCTCGTGGATGGCCACGATTGGGCGAGCACTCAATACATGAAAAAGAATCAGCATCCGAGTCTAAACGGTGCATCACTAGCCACTAAGGGCGCCAACAACTACGCTGCGTCTTGTATTGCCGGTGCGATCAACGCCAACGTTCACTCGGTGCTGTTCAAGCTCACAGGTGTGGATCTCAGTCTCGTAGTGGCAGTACCTGCATCCTCCAGCTCAAGAGACGGCAGAAGGGAATCAGATACGCTCTCCAGAAACGAATTGGTGTTGAAAAGTCTGCATGATGCACGCGCCGCTGCACAAACTGCCGCCGCTGCATCAGGAATCCCTCCAAGTCACAAACGCAAGCCCACAGAGGACGCATCAACAGATAGGACGACAGCAGGTGGGGCGGATTCAGGTGCAGACAGCGATGCTGGGGATAGCTCGTCACCTGTGGTTCAACATCCCAAGTTCCAGAAGCTCGAAGGTAACCTCAAAGCCGGCTCGTCATCAGGTAGTATTAGTAGTGTCAACGGAGGCGGAAGTGGCGGCGGTTCGCGTTCAGGAAGTGCCAATGCGCTGCTGGGATTGCTGCCCCCTCCTCACAACGGGCCTGGCAACGGTGCGTCCAGTTCAGCAAGTGGCAATGGAGGAAGCTCTCCATCCAAAACAACTAGCAACCGACCTCCGCGTGTTATCCGGATCCCGTCGCGTGGCTCTATGGGTCGCTTCCCCCGTTCGGGTGGATCCTGCGAGAAGCGATTGTCACTCAAGAGTCCACGGTACGAGAGCACAATGGAGGTTCATGTCCGTAAGGTCATCTCCGATATTGCCAAGTTGCCATTCAACGCGGACGAGTACGAAACACTGCAGACGTATTACCTGGGAGGCCGGTGCTCTACCGGATCGAATGGCTGCAGTAGCGACTGGGGCGTCGACGATGTGACGGGCGAGCCTGCGCCTTGTCCCGCGTGTCGATCGAGTCGTTTGGCGCGATACCGACGAACGATGGTACGTTTTTGGATACTTTTACGTCTCTGAATCGTGAAGACACCGAGCTAAATGTGGTTTTGTTTGTTGCAGGCCCTCAAAACGCGACTCGAAGCCTCGAAACAAGCGACGGATGCTGTGTTGTTGGTGCTGCTACGACAGCTTCACTACCTCGTGGGCGCCTTCCAGAACGTGGAGAACGCTGTGCAGACTATCGACGACATCCTCGTATCTGCACACGAGGAGATGGACGAGCCACAACAGATTTCCAACGTGCCGCTGCCTTCGCAGACGACAACCAGCCAGCACACCCAGTAGACAGCGGAGATTACAGCACTTGTAGCTCCATCAGATATAGGCAGCCACACAGACAGCGATGCCCGAAGGCATAGGAGAGTATTTATCAGTCCACCGCACGCCCCACCACCCCGTAGCAACAAAGGCGGCATTCGCCACGTACGCAGATTTCATTGCATCGTGTTCGTTTGATGCGAATCGTATCATCGCCGTTAGCTCTAGGTTCGTTTTACTTCCAATCAGAGTCAATTATAGACTGTTTTTAGCGAATCCAGAACCGTGACGACCAGTATCCTCCCCACGTTCACTTGGTCGTGATAAAGTTTTATTTCCCACTTGAGCCAAAAAGCAAAAGACCCGAGACAGCGACAGACATGAGCGTGCTGGATAAGACGCCGCGTGTGGCCGAAGAGACCGCCAAGTACCCGCGCGCGGAGCGTCTGGGATCGCGCGAGCTGCGCTACGGTACGGCTGGCTTCCGCGAGGATGCGAGTCTGTTGGTGTCCACGTGCCACCGCATGGGAATGTTGGCGGTGCTGCGCTCCAAGAGCGTGGGGAAGATCGTGGGAGTGATGATCACGGCGTCACACAACGCTGCAGGTGACAACGGACTCAAGATCATCGACCCTAAGGGCGACATGTTGAGTCAGAGGTGGGAAAAGTACGCCGTGCAGCTGACCAATGCGCCCCAGGACAAGGTCGTGGAGGTGCTGGACGCCGTCGTCGCCGCTGAGAAGATCGATCTGGACCAGACAGGCAATGTCTTTATCGCCAAGGACACTCGTCCATCCAGCGAGCACCTGGCTGAGCTCGCACGCGAGGGAGCGCTCGTGATCGGTGGCAACGTCTTGGACTTTGGCCTGCAGACGACACCGCAGCTGCACCACCTGGTTCGCATGGTATGTAGCTTCATTATAACAAGGGAAGGATGAAGGGTACTGACTCGTGTATTGCAGTGGAACTATGAGCATTACAACAAGGGCGACTGGGCGTCCGAGGTTGGGTACTACAACATGCTCAGCGACGCTTTCAAGCAGCTCACAGCCACACACGACTCCAAGGTGGGTTCATCATAGGGAGGAAAGGGCCCTTGGCTAACTGACTGACAAATCTAATTGTTTTTTTTTCCATTACCGTAGCGCCTGGACACACGCTCCCCACTGCACGTTGACTGCGCGCACGGCGTTGGCGCGTTGCAGATGGCCAAGTTGGCTAAGGATCTGGGCGATTCGCTCCGTCTCGAGATCGTCAACACGCCTAGCGACGGCGAGCTGAACCTCCAGTGCGGTGCTGAGCACGTGGAAAAGTCTCGCCAGCCGCCCAACAACGTGACGCGTGAGAACGACCGCGGCAAACGCTATTGCAGCATGGACGGAGACGGAGACCGCGTTGTTTTCCACTACTTCGACGACGAAGGCACGTGGCATCTGCTGGACGGCAACAAGATTGCTTGTCTGTTTGCCGAGTTCCTGTCCGACAAGTTGCACGCTCTGGAGCTCGACCAGGAAGGCGTGACGTTCGGCTGCGTGATGACTGCATACGCCAATGGCGCTGCCACTCAGTATCTACAGGCCTTGGGTATCCGTGTGGAGCAGGCGAAGACTGGCGTCAAGTACTGCCATGAGAAGGCGACGCAGTTCGACATGGCCGTGTACTTTGAGGCCAACGGTCACGGCACGGTCGTCTTCAAGGACGCGTTGATGGACAAGCTGCACAAGTGGGAGAACACGCTGCACGACGAGCGCAAGAAGTTGGCGTTGTCGCAGCTGCTCGCCGCCTCCCAGCTCGTGAACCAGGCTACGGGCGACGCCATGTGCGACCTGCTGTTCGTGGAAGCTCTGCTGGTCCAGAAGAACTGGGGGATCGCCGACTGGGACGCCATCTATAACGACCTGCCGAGCCGTCAGACGAAGGTCAAGGTCGCGGACCGCACTGTCATCAAATCGGACGAGGAGGACGATACCAAGGTGCTGGCGCCTGAGAGTCTCCGCGACGCGCTGGACGCGGCGCTGCAGGAATACGCCAACAAACGCGGCCGTGCGTTCGTCCGTCCGTCCGGCACCGAGGACGTTGTGCGCGTGTACGCTGAGGCGGACACACAGCAGGACGCGGATGCTCTTGCTCTGCAGTTCGCCAAGCTCGTGCACCAGCACTGCGGCGGCGTGGGAGTTGAACCTGCTAGTTTCGTGGCGTAAGGCAAATTGGTGAGTAAGAGTGAAGGTCGCAATTTAGGCTGGCGAAGAGAAGAGATAGTTGCAATTGGACTGCAATTGAAATCGTTTCCAATCAGAAAAAAAAAGAAATTGCTTCGCCTACATTTCTTGTCCACCACCGTCGAATTGAGTCCAACATTGCAGCTGGATTTGCAGAAGTGTACAAATTGCAGGGTGCGTTACTTGCATGTCCCGCTCATTTCTCAATCAACGTCCGAACAGCCAAAAAAGTCTCAAGTAAGTGATGCCTCAGTGTTCTCTTTGTGGGGCGTCTGGAACCGGCCGCTTTTGCTCCGAGTGTGGCCAGCCCTTCGCCAACGGAGCACAACAAGTACAGCCCAACCAGTCTAGTGGTATCCAACAGCAGCAGCAACAGCAGCCACCACGCGTTCCGCCGCGATTCCAAGAGCAAATGTCATTCGAGGAGCAAGACCAGAAGTCGCTTATGTATCAACAACAAAACAATGCCAACACGCCACCTGTCATCCCTGTCGTGTATGTGGATGGAGACGCAGCTGCAGCGAGAAGCAACGGCCGCTCGGCCTCCGCGGCTTCGTCCAATGGCGGACAGGACACCAACATTGGCGGTCGCACGCTGTCGTCAAGTGGCTCTGGGATCCTCACGAGCCGATACTCGGACCATCCAAACTGCGACGTCTGTGGCTTGGCCTTCGACGTCACTAAGCGTCGACACCAGTGGTAAGTCTGGTTTTATTTCCTATCTCCTCTATCGGTGGATACTAATTGCTCTCTCTTTGTCGTTCTGACGTAGTCGTGCGTGTGGTCGCTACGTCTGCGGCAACTGCTCCCCGTTAATGCTGTTGATCCCTGAAGGAGACCAGATCGAAGGCGCTAGAGGCTACGATCCGTCCATTCCGCAGCGTGCCTGTTTACACTGCGCTCCTGCGTTGCGTCCCCTTCAAGAGGAGCTGGTGGCTCGATACGCCAAGGCAAACGTCGAGACAGCTCCACACGAAGCCAAGTCGAGACTTCACGTGCCATTTTCTCCCTCCCTGGAGAAGGAATGCACCAACGCAGCCGATATCATTGGCAACTTTTTCCGGAACGACTCGGGTGCATCCGGGGACAGAGCGATCCCGATCTCAATGTTGGAAAATGCGCACGGGCTGGCAATCATGACGATTGTCAAGGCAGGGTTCCTTATTGTCGGCAAGGTGGGCACAGGTATCGTGATTTCTCGTCTCGGGGACGGATCGTGGTCTGCGCCTTCAGCTATTGGCACTGTGGGGCTGGGCGGTGGCTTTGAGATTGGTGGAGAGATCGTCGAGGTCATGATCATTCTGGGCTCTCCAGCTGCTGTGCAGGTCTTCTATTCGCCTCAGGTCAACTTGGGCGCAGGTTTGGACGTCGCCGTGGGTCCTTACGGGCGATCAGCCGCCGCTGCCGCAGCGATCAGCAGTACTGGACTTAACGGCAACTACAGCTACTCGATCAGCAAGGGTCTATACGCTGGAATTTCACTCCAGGGCTCTGTGATCGCAACGCGCAGTGATCTAAACCGGAAGTTCTACGGACAGGATCTGGAGGCGAGTGCACTACTGAGTGGAGCTGTAGGCCAACCTGTGGCTGCTAAACCGCTGTATGAGGCTCTAGACCGTGCCACACATGGCATCCAGGAACACAAGGAAGTGCTGGCCGAGAGGTCTCGCATGATGGGGGCATGTCGTGCCTGCAATTGCCAGGTCTTCGTAGCTCACTCGCACCAAATCTGGAACAAGAAATGCAAGACCTGCAACCATATTCACTAGAACAGGCGATAGTAGTTGAAGCTAATAACCCATTGATCAAGCTTTAGAGTAGTGCTTCCAATATTGTGATATTGGTGTCACCCTGAAAGCTTATGTAGCCATCTGCCAGACACAGGCGGTAAAGTTCAGAATTACAATGGTGGAGACCAGCTATCGCGACGCTGGGCTCCCGTCTTCCTGCGACGATGACCGCCACTCGCCTGCCGCCGGTGGTATTGCAGACCTATTATCAGTGCTCGATCGATTCCTGCCGCTTTGGATTCTGCTGGCCGCAGGCGCAGGTATCGGCCTTGGGCAGGTCTCAGCTGTGCATTCCTTCATCGAGTCCACGACAGTGGGGAGTATGAATCTACTGGTGGGCGCGGGTCTGCTCGCCATGATGTATCCTCCCCTCGCCAATGTGAAGTGGCAGTTAGTTGGCGCAGTGTTCCGCGATTGGCGTCTATTGATGTTGACAACTATTCAAAATTGGGTAGTGGGGCCATTCCTCATGTTCCTACTAGCTGCGGGCTTCTTCCACAACGACACGGGGTTCATGGCTGGCTTCAGCCTCGTGGGCTGCTCTCGTTGCATTGGCATGGTCATGATTTGGATCGCTTTGGCTGGGGGTGATCTCGAATACGGGGCAGCTCTCATCGCCGTAAACTCCATTTGGACTATGGCGCTGTATTCGTTGTACGCGAGTTTCTTTCTCAATACGATGCCTAGTGCCATGGGGATCGACGAGGACTCTGAAGAACAAGAAGAACTCCACATTTCCATGACTGAGGTTGGTAGTAATGTGGGTATTTACATGGGAATCCCATTTGTGCTCGGCATTTCAGGGTGGATCTTTTTACGCCGCTGGAAGGGGAATGATTGGTACTTTGACAAGTTCACGCCTCGACTGGACGTGCTGGCGGTGACCGCGCTGCTGTTCACGATAGTGGTGCTGTTCGCTTCACAGAGTCAACGAATTACAACGACGTTTGACTCCGTGCTCTTCTCCATGGTGCCGTTCATGATCTACTTCGTCGTCATGTTCACGGGCTCCTTCTTCATGAGTCAGACGTGCGGCGCCACTCACGCACACAGTGTGACGCTGGCATTTACAGCCACGAGCAACAACTACGAGTTATCGTTAGGTGTGGCTGTAGCTACCTTCGGGCTGGACTCCGACCCAGCCATGATGAGTGTCGTCGCAGCTCTCATTGAGATCCCGGCCATGTTGGCACTGGTGTATCTCTCGCTCTGGCTGGAGACGAGGTCGAGGAATGCAAACTCTCAGATATCTCATACAACGTCTAAAGAGCTCACAATCGAGTCTCCAGTTGTTGCCAAGATCACTAAAACCACATCAATCTCATTATATTCCTCTGGATACCAAACGTCCGAGTGACGTGTTGAATAGCTGAGCTTAGGCCAACCACCTGTACTTCATGAGGAACGTGAAATAAAGCGCCATGTACGAGATGGCCACGAGTAGCAGTGACCAACGAATTACTTCTTCCCTGGCCAGGCGAGACTTCAACGTCGGTGCCACATCTGAAATACTCATGACTCCCAATGAAAGCCAGAAACTCCAAGTGCCATTGACCAGTCCTTCCAGTACGAACTGCCGCCGCGAGCTCGGGTAAACGAACACGAAGCCGTGCATTCGGCCAAAATAATACCAGGCTCGACGGTGGATGATCGAGTGGAATAGTCCGCTGAGTGCCACGTAAATGACACCCAAGCAGAGAGCAAACCAGAAGAATCGCGTCTGCACCAGTCCGAGTACAAACTCTCGGTTCTCATTGACCACGAGGCCGATGAACGCTAAAAACGCCAGAACCGGGATCAGCTCCAGCCCTGAGAACGTGTCATCACCAGAGTTCACCGGTACAGTTGGGGAAAGCGTTCCTCGGGCATTGCGAGTGAGATAGCCACTCCGCTCTCGGCATAGACGCACAAACGCCGTGATCTCCCTCGCCACAGCATCCTTGGCCACCTCACTGTGTTGTAAACCGCAATTTTTCTCGTTTTCCTCACGAATATAGCCAGCAAACAACGATCCATTGGCACTGAGGTCCAGGAAATTGGTCTCCACATGCGGGTAGCGCTGGAAGCGGCTGGAAGCACGTCCAGGCATCCACAGCAGCGACGGGGTCGTCGACATTAAGTGCTACGCCAATACAGAGATACTAGAACGTTAGTATCTGTAGTGCAATCTCCTCAAGTCTTAAGATCTTGCTTAACTTACATAGTCCGACATCTTGGGCCACGCCTGGACGTCCACACGGACGACGGGAAGCTGTGGAGTGGACAGCGTCTGTGCTGCGAGCTCCACGGCCGCCTCCATCAGCTTCTGATGACACAGACATGACTCCTGGTCAATAGAGGGGGAATTTACACCTTGACTCCCTTCATCTTCATCACCGTCTTCGCTTTCCTCGCCGTAGCAGGTTGAAGAGGAAGTGAAGTAGAGCAGCAGGGGCGTTGAACGACTTCGTGAGAGCAGGAATCGCTCGTACTTCGCCCAGACGAGCAATGGATCGACGGTTGCTTGCAAAATAAACAATGGAGACGCGTCGAGAGCTTGTAAAGGGCTATCAAGGGTGGAAGAAGAAGCCGCAGAGACGCCGGAGAGACCCGCAGTCACTGCCGCTCCGAGCCTTGCCCATGTCATGCTGCTATGCAACGGATACGTTCGGTAGTGTGAGTGTGATATTTTCGTATCACAGCAATGTCATTGGTAGTTATTCACACATGCGTAGCCAATTAGCACAAGCTCAAACAGTCACCGACGTCAATGTGACGGGGTCACACAGCACCTTGCGCTGAGGAAGTAGCGCTTCCTTTTTCAAAATGAAAGGGTAGGGTTACAATAATGTATTGATGTGAGTATAGTTGCCCTACCCCTACTGACGCTACTGATCGCGGTGTGATTGTGAAGAAATTGAAGTGGCTTCCGTGTATCTTGGTATTTGTATACTTTCAGTGTCGGAAGCAACTTCCGACACTGCAATCAACCAGTGGTGCAAAATTTGATTGCATGACCAATGAAACATGAGTTGTCGAGGCAATATCGTCCAATAAATAATAACCCAGCAAGTATAATATTTTGGAGCTCAGTAGCAAATATGGAAATAAGTTTCTAAAGATTTCCGGGGCTGAGATTTTCAACAAGACTTAGAATATTAGAAATGTAGGACAAGACTACCTGTACTAAGGCAAGATCAAAAATACGCGACAAGATTAATAGTACTATAGCAAGACTGAATATACTGCAACAAGACTCGTAATACTTGTTCTATTTTTTTTTATGTAAGCATGTTGACACTTCACGAGTCGGCGTTTTTTTTTATCAAGTCTGATACATCGTGCCAGCGTGTCGATAGTGAGCACATTTAAGCTAACAGTAGGTGTATCTCCCATCCAATGTTTGACGTAATATGCTGCATACACGGATAATGTCGTCTCGGATGCGTCGCGTGGAGTCGATACTCCATTTGAAACAGCAAATTCCACAACATCTTCCGCAATGAGTTTTGCAACGCTGAGACGACTGGGTAGAACCCCACTTTGCTTTCTTTCCTGTGGTGTCCATTCACATACTGGTTTGAAAAGATGCTGTGCCGAGTCCGCCTTCCAGTACATTCTGTATAAATCCTTCCAATCCCTGACAGGAGGTAGAATTGATATCTGCTCCACTGCGCTGATGTTGCAGTTTGTTGCTGGTGGGGATGGTGTTGGAGTGACGGAAGGTCGTAGTACTGCGATAAGTTGGTCTATCTTGTCCTCGACAGCTTTAACCGAACTCTCAACGGTTTTAAGACGCTTTTCAAACTGAGTGGTCGAATTGTTCGAAGATCGCTGCCCATGATATACTGCCGTGTCCCGTTTCCGTCCTTGAAAAGTAGAAGGGCAGCCTATATGCGCTCCTCGATCTGGTGCCGAGCAGTCTGCCAGTTGTGTGTCTTCATCAGTTGCTGCTTGATCAAGAAGATAGCGCACAAGCGTCTCTGCAGACTCGTTTGGAGTCCACCCCGCCCACCATTTCACCATTCGTAGCGACCATCTCCGCTCAGGAGGTGCAAACATGAATCGGTATTGAGCGCCTGCGCGTCGAAACGTGTGTGAAGTAAACCAAATGTCGCGCCATTGTCGGCGGATGTACCCGGGCACAGATGTCCCATTGCGATTGAGATCGCGAACGACGCAATTCAGTAGCGTGATGAATGACTGCTCAGACATCTTCTTGCCCCATTCCACACGCGCTTTTTCGCACCCTGTAAGCGATCCATCCGTCTTGATAACACTCTTCGCAATTTTAGACAAAGCTGGGAAAACGTAGTCATTATCGCTCCACTTGTGGTCTGTCTTCGAATCAACGTACTCAATCCATTTCTTCAAGTGATCTAGAACATCCATTGGACTCTCACTTTCACCTAAACGATGAAGATTGTAGCAGCGGCCTTCAGCTACCTCCGTCTTTATCCCTTCCAGTTTGTAGACACCATAGCTAATTGACGTAGTTGGGTCAGAGGTACTGGGACGTGCCAGGTTCAGCGTGAGGTTCTTCCACTGTAAACTCAGTACCTCATTAATTCGACACATTCCATAGAAAGCGAAAGCAGATACAGCAAGAAACCACAAACGACTTGCCTCGGTGAATCCTGCTGTGCGCGCTAAGTGACAATGAAGCACACGCAGCATATCCAGACAAATAGGAGTAGCTTGGCGTTGCGTAAATTCCTTGTTCTTTCGCTTCTTGAGTCCTCGCATGAACTGACGAACAAACGCATCCTTTGCAGGATTACCGAGGCTGTCTTGCCCCCTCTGTCGTCCGTCATTACCATCCACTTGTCCGGTCCTGCGGCGTCTCTGCGCTCATAACTGCCGTAAAAGTTTGCCACTGCAGCTCTGATCTTCTCCGCAGTTTGGTTGGACACGGCACTAGATGCAGACACACTCTCCATAAACGCTACCAACAGCGACGGAAGCTTGTGGTGACGCGTTACAGCTGGATCAGGATACTCATTGGAGATACAGAACTCGCAGAATTTCTTGAAATAGGACGCGTATACGCTTCTTGTCTCCTGTTTAATGACATGCGTGGCGGTGTCAATACCGCCTTGAAGCAGCTCTTGGAACGTCAGCGATTGTCTGGACATTTGATCACTGATTGCCAAGTGCTTCTTGTCCAACCAAAGGGATTGTGAGCAAGGGATTGTGAGCGGTGTAAGATTCAGGACCAATCAATTTTGCCTTAGTATTTATAGTCTTGTCGTAGTACTTATAGTCTTGCCGTAGTATTTATGGTCTTGTCGTATTAGTACTTACAGTCTTGTCTTAGTAGTACTTAAAGTCTTGTCTTAGTACTTACGTTGACTTAACGCGTGATTTGTTATCGCATTGTTTATGCACATAGTACTATAGCTACACGAAATAGTACTAGTGTATCCATGATGCGCCTACTCGTCGTCACTCTCCGATTCCGCACCAAACGTCTCGAGAATTCGAAGGTCAGACGCAGCTTTATCTTGCTCGGAGTTCTTCGCAATTTCGTAGGCCTTGTCCTTCTCCAAAAAAACGCGCACGATAAATGGCTTTAAAGGCATCAAATGAGGTGCAGTCAGCATATTCAGTGAACTTGGCTAGCCCTTCCTTTGCCTGCAACACCGTTGCTTCGCGCGCTTCCTGGCATTTTGATTCCCACTTGATCAACCGTTGCTTGAATCTCGTCTGAAGGTATACTTGGTATTTCTCGACCCGAACTCGCTCTTCATAAACCTTGCGTATACTTGCGTCTTGCATTTCTTCCTTGTACTTTGGGAGGGGCTTGAAGCTCTCCTCAACCGCAGAGACGTTAGATGCCTCTTGCCACTCTTGTGGAAGGTGGTGCCGCTTATCCGGATGCAACCATAGGATCAGCACGCGGAACCAACCTTTTGAAAGCAACTCGTGCTTTTCGGCCTATGGCATTAAAGTTAGATTGGAGACAAGCATTTACGACTGTGCTTGGCACTCACCTTGGCAAACACAAACTCAAAGAGGCGTGGATGAAGACTGAGTACCTCCAGAGCATGGCCCATCATCCCTTTTGGCTGTGGCTGGGGCACTGCTTGCGCTGCTTCGGCCTCACGTAGCTGCTTGCGAAAGCCTAACCAATAGAAATGTATTAATTAAAATAATAATATCATTAAAACCCAATATTTGACACCTTGCAATTCCTTGAACAACGTGGCTGCGCGCTTATCTCGCTGCGAGCCCACGCGCTTAGCGCGATTTTTCTCCCAAGACTTCTTACGAATCTCGCTGCGCGTCTCAGGCAGCTTGATTCCCTTGCAGACCTTGATATGCTTGGAGATGTTAGTGCGGGAGATCTTCCTGTCGCACTTCTTGCATTTCTTCGTGGGCGCGCTACCGTACGCTGCCTTCGCTCTGGCGGCCGTCATTTTTGGAAATGTGTGTTTGAGCGGAGTGCTCTATTTGATTGGTCAATAAATGATTTTTGTTTTCTTGTGCTCGGATTGGACGAAAGTATTTTTGATTTTAGTTGTTTTGGTGTTGCACCAGGGAAAGAAGTAGGCTTCCAAGAGTATACAAACTCTAAGTGAACGACAGTTCACGTGTCCCTGGTCTGAGGGGACGAAGTACTCGAAGTACTCAATTAAGGGTACGATTAAGACAGATTTGTAAGGTTAGCTTGGTTTCTATTACAAGCTATAAGTCACCTATAGAAAAGCAATGATTGGTCCCTGGTACCATGTACCAGGTATTACAAGAGTGACTGGTCACTCTTCATGTAACTTGGGTACACTGGGGTTCGTACCCCGTTACATCCTCCCCCACTTAGGTTCGGTTTACCGACGAATCACAAGAGGGAGACAGAGTCACAAACTCTCATCTCCGAGTCGAAAGGGGTTCGACAAGCTACGGGGACGCGGCTGTGGCTCATTTCACAGTTGGAGCCTTGAGCAAAAGCGCTCGTCTTCTCGGTCTCCACTTCGACCACGTCATGCTTCGCGGTACTGCGAAGGGCGGTGCGAAAGCACCCGCCAAGGCTGCTGCCCGAAAGGCGCACGCCAAGAGCTCTAAGCGTCATAGCAAAGGCTCGGCACTCAAGGAGGCTACTAAGGTAGACTCCGAGGCAGTTGATGCCTCGGGTGGCTCGACTGGGAGCAAGCGGCAAACGGTGCCCGTCGCTTCACTTTCGTCTGCTCTGTGCCGGTCTCCTGCGGGCACTCCCGATCATTCTCTCGTAGTAGTCGAAGTTTCACACGCTTTCATATCTTCTTTCTTTAATCCATTTTCCAAATCGTAATCACGTTCACGTAAATCATCATATGCATATACAA